ATTTTTGATCGACCAGACATCGAACCTTTAATAATCAACTTTGAGAGTGATGAAGATTCAGATTCAGACAGCGCTGAAGAAAGAAACTCCGACTAACTTTATTGTACAGAAAAAGCTTACACCAGTAGCTTACCTAATTTTAGAATGCATTTTTCTGTATGAATTCTGTAAAATAAATACCATGCATAAAATTTGGAGGACCCCATTTGGATTTTTATTCAGTACCTTTAAGCTATCAATTAAATATGGTAGTTTCATAGTGTCATCTGATCAATAATTGTCATACTTAATGATTATGCAAGTACAGATCTATAATTTTATTATACTATTATTTTTGTTCTCATTTGAGGTTAATATTGCTTATAAACCTAGATATGTAAATAATAAATTTTATTATTTTACAAAAAGTTTGGCAACAATGTAAATTTTTCAACACACCCACCTTGATGACGTGCACGCCACTTTGTTTGGCGTTGACTATAGATATATAGTATCATATCATTAGGGTGATGTACTTTTTTTAGTTGGACAGTATTTTATTTTCAAACTCTGTACCCCTTTAAAAGTTTATCAAGTACACCTAAATGTACTTTTTTTCAATAAAACAAAATTTTGTCCTACTTTTTGTTTGAAGAAATAAAATAATTATAACTGTTTTTGTGTTTTCGATGTATTACATATTTGGATTTCAATCCACTGTGGAGTGAAAATTTAAGTGAACTAAAGCTTTTTGGATGGGATCACCAGAGAAGACAAATTTCTTGGGCAGATATTTTATATTGAGGCTTTGAAGGGCTACATAGGTCTGGTATTGAATCAGGATGAACTGTTCGATGAAGTTAGTCTAATACAAATGAACATTACAGAAAACAAAATTGCTGATTGGAATTTGAGAAATATTTCTACTGAAGATCAGTGGCTCGAATTTTTCCATGCAGAAAATGGATTGAAAAATGTAAAAATTTTGTGTGAGTTTGTTTTTTGTCTGCCTGGACCACAGCCTCAATTGAGAGGTTACTCTCAAGTATTAATAACTATTGGAGTTCTGAAAAATTGCAGTTGAAGATATCTACTTTGGAAGCCACTATGCAAGTCTACACAAACTTTAATGATACTTGCATTGAAATATTTCATTTTTTAAAGGGTAAACCACAAATTTTAAAGGCAACATAGTTCCCAAAAGTATGACGTACCAAAATGAAGATTTTTTTATAGATGTTTTGTTATATTGCTGCTGCATCTGTATTATAACATAAATGCCTTTATTTTGTTTGATGAAAAATGTGTTAGATTTAGACAAAAAATTGCTCTAAGTATCAGTATACTTACTTCTTTTTGTTTAAAAATTATGGTCACCTTAGGTACATATAATACAATCACCAGTAGAACATTTTATTTGATAGGGGGTACTAGAGGGATAAGTCAATAACGAAGTTGATCGTAAATCGTAAGGGTTAGAATATTTTGTCGACACCCAATTCAAAAGTACGTAGGTATAACAACAAACAAACAAAAATTGCAGATGATTATAGATTTGTTCGCTGTAATTAGCTGAAAACTCATTACTCACGTCACTGGAAAACAAAACAAACTGTAATCAGACATCAAAAATCAGAAACTCACCAAAGTCTGCTCGGTTTTAGAGCGGTTGTTTAGTACAGGCCGAATTCAGGAACAAACAAATGAACTTTTAGTCAAAACGGGCGACTTTGGAGGCGGAAGATCATGAAAATTATAACGGAAAAACGAATACCGAATAACGAACGAAAGAACACCCGCAGATCCCAGTTATCTTCTCCCACGATACGCGGACTGCCTGACGGACTGCGTGTTTGATCGTGTTTCCTCGGTTTTCAGACCCCTCAGTGTTTCATCAGACCCTGTGTTGCCATGTTGGTTGTCTTGATTATGGATTTCCTGATGTTCTAAAAATTAAAGTAATGGGCTGCGTACGTAAATTGTTACACAGTGTACTTTGTACAACTCTGTAACAATTATAGCGTTCGTAAATGTTTGACGTACCTGTTCCATGCGTTCGGAAATAAAACAAAATAATCCTTTTAGAACGTCAAAAGTGGGCATTTCTTCCCATGCTCAAAACTTTGGGAATAACAATGTTGTCACTTGTCACTGCCATGGTTCATTAATCAAATCCAAGCGAATAACCAAAATTTCTGTGTTATTTACCGTGGTTATAATATGGTTCAAGATGACACACGGGTTGCTGACGTCAGTTACTCGAATCGCTTGAACGCGTTAGTTTTAACCGCGGTTTTGTTGAAAGTTGTTTATTTTAGAAAAGCTCGTATATAATTTCTGATTATTTTTATTATCACTTAATAATCGGTGCTTTTTCGTCTACAACGTGTATGTAAAGTTTAAAAAATAAACCTTTCATTATATTAATGGGAGAATTGTTTTTTTTTTAGAAATTTTTTTTTTAATGATGAAACCATGGCTTTGTAGCTATGATAACTTTCAATTCTCTAAACTTTTCCACATTTCAAAGAAAACATTTATTGATTTAGCAGAAATGATAGGAAAAAGGGATGAAAAAAGACATTAGCAAAACCGCATACAGTGAGTTTATGTGACCATATTTTAATATTCTTGTGGTACATAGCTACACAGGATACTTTGTTAAGCAGAAGAACTAGATTTAAAGTGTCCCCAACAACAATAATGATTATAACTAATAAGGTGCTATACTTTGTGCTAAAACTGAAGTCAGCCTGTATCAAGTTTCCCAAAAATGAAGCTGAAGTACAATAACAATATATCTAATACCCGGCAAAATTCTAACTTGTCATTTCAAATAATAACCAGAAATATAAAACTATACTCCTGAGTTTGGTAAATACCACAATTTTGCGGTGATAACTATGACATATAACAGCTGTATCATGACGTCGCGTATCTTATAAGCAAACTGATAACCACATTCGCTTGAACGGATCGGTAAATACCAATCCAAAATGGTAAATACCATTTTCATTTGGTTATTCGCTTGAATTTGATTGTTTGCTTACTTTATTTGATTATAAAAAAGTGCTCAAAATTGACAGTTTCTTATAATAAATACAATGGTCCCAGAAAACGGGGTTAGAAATTAGCCTGCTGTCATCAAATGTCAGCATAAGGCTCTGTAGTAATTTAGGCATGCTAAGAATAAAGTTACACAGTATTCCAGAGTGAAATTTCATCTGTCAATTTATACTCCATTACTGTAATCAAATCCAAGCAAATAACCAAAATTTCTGTGTTATGTGCCGCGGTTATAATATGGTTCAAGATGACACACGGGTTGATGACGTCAGTTACACGAATCGCTTGAACGCGTTGGTTTTAACCGCGGTGTTGTTGCAAGTTGTTTATTTTAGAAAAGCGCGTATATAATCTCTGATTATTTTTATTATCACTTAATAATCGGTGCTTATTCGTATATGGAATATACCATATAACCAAACTGATAACTACACTCGCTTGAACGGATTGGTAAATACCAACCCAAAATGGTAAATACCATTTCCATTTGGTTATCCGCTTGAATTTGATTTGTGTTTGGTATTACATTACCAGGTGATTTACAAACGCACCCCTGCGCTACAAGTAGATAGATAGTATTTATAGTTCAACAAAAAGCCTTACTTTTATTTCAGATTTCATCGAAATCCCAGCTGTATTTTTCAACATATTTTTAATTTCAGAACATTCCGGTACGGCTATTATGTAAAAAACATAAGAAACGTCAATAAAAAAAAACTACCCATTGTCATCTTGCGGACTAGGTACTTTTTAATGTACAAATAGTTCATTCCACGTTTGCTTGCTATGATCGCTGTTTGCTGACGTTTAAGCAACACGTCACGTACAGCTACAAAACGCGTTCACAACAAGTGTACAACAGCTTGCGCTAAGTTAACATTTGTAGAAAAACCTACGTTATGTCACAAATTAACCTACAAAATATCAGAAAACCGTCGCAATGAAACCTTTCAAGATACGTAATACCCGTGCCGAACTTTCCGATGTTTTTTTGAGTTACTGATAATTTTGAGAGTTAGATACGTTTTCTTGAGGATGAACATTTTTCGAAAACATCAAGACCTCATTTTTCAAAAATTTTTCTCATTTCAGGCATTTCAGGGCGTCATAAAATAAGCAAAAGAAATCACGTGTGTAATTTTTGAGGATTCGATTTTTTATAAATCAGTTGTTTTTCAATCCCAGTATTTTTCTTTTCAAGCTACTTTTTCCTAAATCTTGGCAACGTTGCTCGCAAGAATTAGCGGCATGGTGGCGCGAAAGAAGTTCACAGATGTTGGGAATTGGAATAAATAGGCCTCAACGACCATGCGCTTTGAGGCTCTCAAGATATCTGCATTGATCACAATAAACAACTAAATTTATAAGAAAATGCTACAAGAACCACTATGTCTTTATTATACTTTTGCTGTTTGGTTCACCTACGGAATAATTGCTTATTGCTGCATAATGGAGTCTCTATCGTAGCATAGCTCAAGCTATTAGGCTCCATATTTTTATCATTCACCATTTTCTTAGTTACTGCTTATTTATTTATAAAAACTGCGTTTATTCAAGGTATTTATTCTGATTCAAATTCAAATATGGGAGGGAAAATTATTCGAGTCAGGTGCGCCATCTGTTGATCAATAAATTTAAGTAATTCTCAGAGTTAAAGTTCATCTCCAAGTACAGCGACAAGGAAGTCTGGGCTGTGTTCAAATTCAAACTCTACTAATTTAGAACTTCCTGTTATTTTATGATTATTTAAAGAAAATTCGTTCTATATAACTTTGATTATTTGGCATTGGTATTTTTTATAAATATGCTCTTAAATGTTATCAATGCTTGCGTATGTAGCGAATGTTTTTAAACACTCTGCCATTAGTGCCATTTAAAGATTTTATTATTCTACTGAATTAACCGAAATTTCTGGATTTTTTTCTAGAAAATACAATTGTTATGCGGAACGCACTCTGACAGTTGACAGTGCAGAAATCTGCATTATCGGCATTTATTATGTCTATACGATGTCTTTCTAATGTCGTTTGTCGCATTTATTCGTATTTAGTTTTCCGCTTTTATGTGAGAATTTGTGTGAGAGTTGTGGAATCTGGTATTTTAATCAGAAAACGGGTGAGAAAGTGGTAAGAAAACTCTTCCATTCATCATATTATCATACTTAATAACATCATACTTTCGCCAATACTGCGTCTCGACTTCATACTTCCAGTGGTTCTACAAATTATTGGGTTAACATTTTCACCTTTCTGGAAACGTAAATATGAGCCATATAGTGTTCCGTCTTGGTTTGGAGTGCACCGAAAGCGACAGTTTGTGAAAAAACCGCATGAATGTCGGTAGTTTACGTTTCTAGATCAGAGGGCAAAACGCGGGCTATGCCTGGTACCACCATGGAAGTTCCTGGTTCATCTTCGAAAAACGTGATTTTATGGTCGTCACAAACTGAAAATACCATCAAAACTTCGTGTTTACCATATCCCAAGTATATCAGCAACAAGCTGTTCAGTTCAAACTTTTTATTCACTAGAGGTTATTACTCCTACAACAGGGGTTCAAAAGTAGCATTTTACAAACAAAATGTCAATTTTGGGCTTAGTGTATATTAGAATAATTATTGTGAAAATCTTCATCTATATTCTATATTATTAAATTCTGACTTGGCATTGAACGCTAATTTGGTTATTTTTTTGCAGACATTATGCTATTAGGTATCTTAGAGATAATGCTAATATTGTAATGTTTCCATCATTGCTCTCCTGTTAATTTCAGCACAAACCTTATATGTGATTCACAATCTGTGTACCTGGTTTACCCCAGAACAAGTTTTCTCACATATTGTGTAAGTATATACATAACATAATTTAAAAAAATTTGTTACTTTCCTGTGAGGTTCTTTACAATGCAAACTTTTTGTCCCTTGTGGTTACAAGTACATAAAACTTGCTAATTTGTGGTGCTAAATTTAAATGCGAATCAAATAATCATAAAATGTTAAGTACTATTTGAACTAATAAAATCGGCTTTGAGGAATCTTTGTGCTAAATATCACTTGAAAACTGATTTTAGATTTGTGATCAATGCATCAGGTTTACCAAAGAGGTTAGTTTTGGTTGATCTTGCTGATAGGTAGTTTTTTTTAATACTCTCTTTCTATAGCTTCCCATACAGCACAATATGTTTTTCAGAAATATTCCAGAAATTGTACATTGTAATGGACATGTTTCAAAATCCTTACAAAATATTGCTGCAATATTTCTGAAAGGTATATATATATATGTGTATATAAGATTGTGAAGTAAGTAAAAAGATTCCCAATCAACTGTTTTTAGTTCCTGATGATGGCAGCAAGCTTTCGACAGACTATGTCAAAAGCTTGAGTAATTCAAGTCAGAAGGGTACACTTATTGTCAATATTCCCAAAGACAAGTCTTCCACATATATATATATATATATATATATATATATATATATATATATATATATATGTGTATACATACGAAAATGTCTGCTTTTGTAATGTACATTTCACAAATATATGGGAATGTTACAAACTAAAGTTCAGTGGTCATAACTTTGTATGGTGCCAGGTACTGTTATTGAATATTTGTTCAAATAAAACGTAACAGTATTTCCAATGAATCTATTAAACATATAAACCATATCTATAATATTTGACCCATCTATCCACCCATCTTATCTGTGGCAGTTGAGTCATCTATGAATCTATCTATCCATCGGTCTCATCTGTGGCAGTTGTCCTATCCCTACAAGTTTTAACATTAATGTTACTTATTCTGGAACTGGTAATGTTTCAAAATTGTATGTAAAATGTAGGAAAACAATCATTACTGATGTTTCAGTTGCCCATGAAGGCTTATCATAGTATATTTATTAAACCTCAGTAATGATTGTTCTGTATCATTATGTCTTGAATTAGTACATTTTCATTTTAGAGATATAATAATTTGAGTTTCCATTCGGTAGTGATTAGGATTTTTTAGTTAATCCATCTTCATGCTCTAGGACAGGTGTGAAAATTCAAAATCAGAAACTTTTACCATATTAAATAAAAATCAATTTTATTATTGATTAGTGAATATTTGTTTCAAGCTATTTTGGTAAATATTAATAACCCAGAACATTTTATCAACTGTTGATTATACACCAAGAAATTGTATTTCATGGAATTCAAATAGATTTTTGAATTATCTTGAAAAAACAACTTTTACCTACATTTCTCTAATGAATCTCAACATGCATTGTGTAATCCACTGGTAAATTCATGAACATAAACTCAAGCACTTGACTTGAAGTTAGCAGAGGACACAAAAGGTGACAAAACAGGAAGACCCAAGACCATCATGGCGAATAGCGACGGCGGGACACGCGCACTGTTGCCAACTCTTTATCAATAAATTCGCTGGATGTATGTTTGAAACTCGAAAGTTATCATAGCTACAAAGCCATGGTCCCATCATAAACATTTTTATAAAAAGAAAACATTTCTCCCATTAATATTATGAAAGGTTTCTTTTTTAAACTTTCCATACACCGTTATAGACGAAAAAGCACCGATTATTGAGTGATAATAAAAATAATCAAAAATCATATACGCACGTTACTAAAATAAACGACATGCAACAAAACCGCGGTTAAAACCAACGCGTTCAAGCGATTTGAGTAACTGACGTCATCAATCCGTGTGTCATTTTGAACCATATTATAACCGCGGCACATTACATAGAAATTTTGGTTATTCGCTTGTATTTGATAATATATTGATTACCTAATATGGGCTCAGCCAAACAAAAAAAAAGGTATGGGTGTCATTGATAAGCATCTATCACTGGCTATTCGGCAATTCGGAAATTGATCAAAAACCGATCTTTTTGCGCTGAGGACACCTATGTTTTCCGTTAAAAAATCTGCTATCGGAAATTGACATTTTTGTCGCCAAGTACAATTGACATTGCTGCATTGGCAACATCGGACTTCTGTTACATCATGTTCGACTTCTGATGGCGCCAAATTTAAAATCAGCTGTTCTTATACGAGTATATTATGTAGTATGTGGATGTCTTCTTCGCCAATATATTTTTCATGCATTAACGAAATGGAACAACACAGTCATCAAAAATATAGCACATACAAGAAATTATACAATAGACGAGAAAACACTTTTTTTAATTATTCGTCGTAACTACACCCATTGATGTGCATGGCCACAATAAACCAATACATTGAAAAGATCTATTTACCTAAATATGGATCAAATCACATGAAATATTTTAAACTATCAGTGATATTTCAGAAACAATATGAGTGAAATATTCCTTATCCCTCATTTCAGTAATGTCTCTCAAACATAAATTGCAAAATATTACAAAAAGAGTATTTACAAAATATTAATTTTGAAAAGTAATATTGGGAATGATATGTAATATCTCTGAAAACTAATGTGCTGTGTAGGTTCTAAGCTCACATGTATGGATTTCATTTTTGTCATAACTGCCAACAAGTAAATGAATCTGTACACTAGGATAATTCGGAATTTTGAATATAGCAATTAGAGAACCCTAAAATGTTGGGCTACAAAACAGGAATTTTGAGATCTTTCATTGATTTTGACAAAAAACTAACATCATATTCCACAAAGCAAAATATCCTTTTTGTCACCTGTGACTACAGGTTAAAAATTCTGGATATTTGTTGCAAATGACAGATATTTCGTCAATTTGAGGTACTCAGCCTAATTAATTCTGTAATGCTCAGTACCATATTGTTCCACTTTGTATTCGCATACAAATTTTATAGACGAGTTTGGAACATATCACTATTAAACCAAAAAAAACTGGAAATCAGCTCAGGTCTCAGTTGGCCCACCAGTTTTGAAGCTTTCAATATAATAATTCTCTTTTTGTCTTTGTCTCACTGCTATCCACTTTGCTTCTGTCGAATCCTGGGGTAATTTAGAAGCCTGATTTTCAATATGACCATCATAGGTCCCTTAAATGTTGCTGAGCTTTATTTGGAGTAAGTAAACTCAATACACAGAGGTATTTTAAAATTTTAATTTTGATATAGACAACAAAAATGCTAGAATGTTGCAAAGCTATTACAGTAGGAACATGGGTTTTTGGAATCTTCTTTTCCAAGATACATTTTACAGTCAAAATTGTAGAGCTACAAAAATGCTCAACATTTATTTCAATCTATATTTCTGTTTCAGTTGCTGTTGATGGATTGATACTTAGTTAGTAAGAGTAAGAAGAGACTGAAGCACGATGGCTACTTTAGGACACCAGGCTGCAGCAGTGCTGCTGGACTTCAACCAGAAGCTGGACATAAACCTCTTAGACAGTGTTGTGGTGAGCATGTACTCTGGGAATGGAGAGACTCAGAGGATTGCCCAGGAAGTGCTGACCACATTGAAAGAACACCCAGATGCTTGGACCAGAGTGGACACCATCTTGGAATACTCCACTAACCAACAGACCAAGTATTATGCCTTGCAGATACTGGAACAGGTCATCAAGACCAGATGGAAAGTCCTGCCTAGAAACCAGTGTGAAGGGATCAAGAAATACATTGTCTCGCTTATCATCAAGACCAGCTCTGATCCTGAGACTCTAGAGACGAATAAGACTTATTTGAATAAGCTGAATATGATTTTGGTGCAAGTGTTGAAGAGAGAATGGCCTAAGAATTGGGAAAGTTTCATTCCTGATATTGTAGGAGCAAGTAAAACCAATGAGAGTCTCTGTCAGAATAACATGATTATCCTTCAGCTTCTTAGTGAAGAATTATTTGATTTTTCTTCTGGGCAGATAACCCAGACAAAAGCAAAGCATTTAAAAGATACTATGTGCTCGGAATTTTCCGCGATTTTCCACCTATGCCAATTTGTATTGGAAAATTCGCAGAACCCACCTTTGGTTAACGCCACATTAGAAACTTTATTGAGGTTCCTAAACTGGATACCTCTCGGATACATTTTTGAAACTAGCCTCATCAACACACTCATTTTTAAATTCTTACCTGTTCCGTTGTTCAGGAATGTCACACTGAAATGTCTTACAGAAATAGCTGGTGTGAATGTTTGCAACTATGACGATATGTTTGTGAACCTTTTCTCACAAACTATGACTCAGCTTGAGATCATGTTGCCCTTGAGCACTGATATAAAGACAGCATATGCCTGTGGCCACGACCAAGAACAAAACTTCATACAAAATCTTGCATTGTTTTTATGCACTTTCCTCAAAGAACATGACAGCATTGCAGAGAATCAGGGAGAGATAATAAAGAAGGCGTTGAGGTATCTCGTTTTGATATCTGAGGTAGAGGAGGTCGAGATATTCAAGATTTGTCTGGAATATTGGAACAGCCTGGCGTCTGAATTGTATCCAGAGGTGTTACCGCATACTGGAGCTAGGCCCATTTTCTTTGGGCCAAGACAAGGAGCAAATAGGTGAGAAAAATATTTTCTTATTATCAACATGGTGTGTTGCAACTTTAACCAGTTTTTGTCAAAATCGTCAGCATCTTGAGGAAACAAAACCTATTTGAAATTAAAACATTATACTGATATCTTATCAACTTCAATAGTTAGGTATAAAATATGATGTTCATATTTCATTATAGGTACGAAAACCTGTATCAAGAGGTACTGAACAAGGTCCGTTACATTATGATTTCCCGCATGGCAAAACCAGAAGAAGTACTTGTAGTCGAAAATGACAATGGCGAAGTAGTCCGAGAATTTATGAAGGACACAGACTCGATAAATCTATACAAGAACATGCGCGAAACTCTGGTCTATCTGACCCATTTGGACTATGCTGATACAGAGAGAATCATGACTACTAAACTACAGAACCAAGTGAATGGTAGCGAATGGTCATGGAAGAATTTGAACACCCTTTGTTGGGCGATAGGAAGTATATCGGGAGCTATGCACGAGGAAGATGAAAAACGGTTCCTTGTTACTGTTATTAAAGATCTTTTAGGATTGTGTGAACAGAAAAGAGGTAAGAAATATTGGATAGATTTGCTTTAAAATTTGGAAACTAGCCGCGGCGAGTGCGGTACACGATGCGTATGCCGAGAATGTTTTTCTAAACATGTCTAATAGTTGCATAGAATTACTAAGATTGGGAGCTTATAAAAGTACTAACAAAAATTGAGATAAAAACTCCCCACCCCCTAAAACCTCCACGTCTTAAGTTTTTTACCTCTAAATCTTTTTTCAAAAATTACTTGGATCCTTTGAAACGCCAAAAAGGGAGGTTTGAACGATTTTTACTTTTTTCTCTGCCGCCACGGGACCGATTTTCAAAAACAGCAAAGCCTTTGCGTCCTTGGTATAGTGTTCACATTGTTTAAAAGTTTCACCGAAATCCGAGCGGTGGTACTTTTCAAGTAATATTCGGTAATAAAGGCCGGCAGACAGACCGACCGACGGAAATCAGTGATGTGTTTTTTCGTGATGTACGTATCACATAATATCCAAAAAACATATTTCATTTTAGATTTTTTTTCGATAACAATGCTTTCCCGCCAGTAGGCGTGCGAAGTAAAATTGAAAAATCACTTTTTATTAAAAGTTGCACTAATAAGTTTAATGAATAAAAATACCAACCCAAAGTATAAAGCAATCAATGAATATACAAATGACGGGGTGTCTATTTTTTTCCTGGCATATCTACTGGGTTGGCAGGCATAAAGAGGTATATTGATATTACGTAGTTATTTGCACTGATTTGTTTAATAAGTGAATCTTATATCAAAGCAACCACCATATTCATTGTGAACACGATGATATAGGGTTGTCTGCTTATTTTTATATAAGATTTAAATAACTAATGTTAACATACCTGTTTATTTCTGCCAACCAAGTAGTTACGCCAGGAACAAAATAGACAACTCAACGTTTGTTGCAAAACTTATTAGTGCAATAAAAAGTAATTTTTCAAGTTTTAATCATAGTTTCTCTTCAGAGATTTTTTAGCCATCCCACAGCCACATGTCTTTTAACGTACTAAATTTGACATAGATACTTTTCATCCATTAAACAGATGGGTGGTCGCTTCTAATTCGGATCTTAGACTAACAGGATGTCGCGGACATTCCGTTGTTCCCATCACAAAATTGACATTGGGTATTTGTAATCAATGGTCTGAGTTACTCAGGAAATGGTTTTCCATGTTTGTCACTTGTTGTTAGAAGTGAACGAAACAAGATATACCGGTGTAATTCAGGATATAGCCATTAAAAAGAATTAAAGTGTTGCAAAGTACTTATTTGTAATAGTAATTTTAGGACTTTTCGGGTATTCCGTCGATATAGCAAAATATCATATCTAGAACTTACATATTCGGTTTATCCACGAAACGAGTTTTAGTCGAGATTTAAAATACTTAAATTTTTTTTAAAAATATCCTTTAATAGTACTCCAAAGCATAAAAATGCTTTGGAATATGGTATCGCGAAGTGTCAGATGGGGTCGAAAAATCCTGCTTCGCGATACTTTGCACTTAATTTTTCAGACGATCCATTCTCTAGTTTTTTTGTCTACATAATGTTTGAAGTCAAAAGCTTATTGATATAGTGTTGAAATTCATCTAACCCCATTTGTGACACTTTTGATTTTCAGGCAAGGACAACAAAGCGATAATAGCCTCTAACATAATGTACGTGGTGGGGCAGTACCCCCGATTCCTGCGCGCTCACTGGAAGTTCCTTAAAACCGTCGTAAACAAGCTGTTCGAGTTCATGCACGAAACTCACGACGGCGTCCAGGACATGGCATGTGACACTTTCATCAAGATTGCGCTAAAGTGCCGCCGGCATTTCGTCACCACGCAAATTGGAGAATCTTGTCCTTTCATCGAGGAGATCCTAGCGTCGATTTCGACGATTATTTGTGATTTGCAACAGCAACAAGTGCATACGTTTTATGAAGCGGTGGGGTACATGATTTCTGCGCAAGTAGATGCAGCGTCTCAGGAGGGGTTGATTGAGAAGTATATGCTTCTTCCCAATCAGGTGAGTGGTATAGACCTCAACATACTTTACACACCTTACACTATTTCTTATAATACTTAAATGTGCCAACAAAGAACAGCTGATCATTTACAGCGATGACACACTCAGCGGTTTGTGCCGACTAGGTGGCCGAGTCGACTGCCGAGCCGTTCAAATGCTGCGAAACGCACGCCGCAATCGTCGCCTAGCAGCTGCAGTGCCGATTCGGCACACCGTCTACTCCAAGAAACGACTCGGCTTTATTACTGTCGCGGCACTAGTTTACATTGTTTTATATGGACGAAGACACACACATCGTTTTTTACAAGCTCAAGCGCCTTAGTGCCTGTTTTACCATTGAAAATGTCATCAACAGAAGCATTGCAGTTCATAGAAGCGAATCTCGATGTAGATAAACTAATAAGTCAGATTCAGAACCATCAGGATTATGGGACATGACTGGAAAAGATTATAATGATCGAATTAAAAGTCGACAACTTGCATTTGGTCTCTCCCAACAGCGTTTTCTCAATGACCGTCCGGCTGACGACTGAAAAGCCGTTGTGTGTGTCAACGTTGAAGTGGCAGTGGATTCGGCAACCGAATCGGCACAAACCGCTGTCTGTGTCATCGCTCTTAGCGACGTTGACGCTTTTGCGCGAATTGTTTTGCATGGAGTAATTAGGAAGTCTTGATAAGGATACATATGATATAGCTGGTATGTGGTAATGTTAAAGACTACATTTAAAGTCAGAAAAGAATTCAATTTTAATTCGTATATTCGTTATTGCCAACTGTGCAAAGAACAAGTGACCACTTAGATAGACTTTAGAATTTGTTGAAGTATTGTGTTTAATATTTGTTTTATTTATAATAATAGGTATGGGATGACATAATCAGTCAGGCAAGCAAAAACGTAGACATTCTCAAGGAAATAGAGATCGTGAAACAGCTGGCTAGTATACTGAAAACGAACGTTAGGGCTTGCAAAGCCCTGAACCATGCATATGTTTTGCAGCTTGGTAGAATATATTTGGATATGCTGAATGTATATAAGGTATGCCACGTGATATTTTTTTCTGAAATGCCTTTTAGATGCGTTTTATACTTTATATAAAGTTTTATTGAAACAATGTGTTGTTTTTAGGTAATGTCTGAAAATATAACGGCGGCCATTCAACTTAACGGCGAGGCTGTTACAAAACAGCCTTTGATCAAGGCAATGAGAGTTGTGAAAAAGGAGACGTTGAAGTTAATTTCTGATTGGATATCTCGTTCCAGTGATGATATTATGGTAAGCATTTTTATGTTAAGAATATTAGCAATCATTTTCTGCGTGATTTAGTAGACTACACTATCGAGTAGGTTCCCAAATATTCAAGATCGCAGCTTGTCATGACTCATGTTTGTAACAAGTTCAAATATTAATGATATTCTGTTTTTTTTTCAGGTATTGGAGAACTTTATACCTCCCTTCCTAGATGCTGTGTTGCTTGATTATCAACGTACCAGCGTACCTTCAGCTAGGGAACCTGAAGTGCTCAGCGCAATTGCTACTATTGTCAACAGACTGGAAAATCACATCACTCTAGAGGTGAGTGTTTAAAAATAATAATTAAGGTGTTTACCTGTTGATATTTTTTTAACTATGTTTTGGTCTAGTGTATGTATGGACAGGTGCTGTGAGACTTTTCTGTTTCGGGTCATTTCAGTGTAGGTGCATTGCAAATGTTCATATTTTAGCAAATCCTATACTGTATTATATGCTGCTCCAGTTTTAGTCTTTCCTCTTGGACCCTAGCTTCTTTAATGTCGGTAGCAGTTTTGGTTACAATTAATTCCCTGTTCATCATCGTTTGGTTTCCGTTCCGTTATTTCTCCATTTTTTGTGTGCCTATCTCCCAACTTATTCTACGTCTTTGTGGTCAGATCAAGAGGATGCAGTTTTTACGATGAATATTTGTGTTTCTTAGGTTATTCATACCAGGAAAATGTTTCCTTTCGGCATCGAAAATATCTCTTTTATGACGTCGTGTTAATCTAGCGTTTTATATAAAATAGAAAGACCAATAGGCCTAGTATTTATAAAATTCTAATTATACTACAGTGGTCTATCAATATAATAATAATAAAAATAATAATATCGTCTTTATTTACAAAGCTACAGAGTGCGATTCATTATGGCGAAGTTTAGCTAAAGCTACTCTTACACTTAACCATATGAATACGAAAAAAAAGATGGTATAGGAGAGACAAAAAAAAAATAAAGTTTGTCTATTACAATGTCATAATAGTATTGAAAGCAGTTCAATCAAACAAGCAACTAATTTAAATGCCTACAAGCATATGTGCCCATAAATTAACTTATAAATGTATTAACAAAAATTAGACAAAGAAGAAACATTATAATGTAGAGCTCTGTAAATATAACCTAATATGCTTACGGAAACAAGACAGATTCATGGTTTTGTAATCTAATCATCAGGAATATTATTGTAGCGACTAGCAGCATTATAGGAAAATGAGCGTTGGAAAAGCGAGGTGACGTAATTGGGTATTCTAAATATTTAATGTATATCTAAATCTTGTAACTCGACGGCTAGCAACTGGGTATCATCTGCGAATGACTGTATTGTAGAGTTAGCTACTACAGAAGGCAAGTCTGCAATATATATTAGAAATAACAAGGGTCCCAAAACAGATCCTTGTGGAACACCAGATATGATATTGGTAGAGTTAGAAAAAGTATTATTAATGACAACACATTGGGACCGATTAGCTAAGTATTCCGTGAAAAACGATATAGATATATTATCAAAACCTAAATACTCCAATTTAGCAAGAAGCAACTGATGACTCAGTTTGTCGAATGCTTTAGAGTAATCGATCGAGACCAAAATGGAGGCAATATTTTTATCTTGAGCCCGTATTATATTATCTGTTGTATTAAGCAGAGCGGTAGTAGTAGAGTAAGATTTGCGGAAGCCCGATTGATTTTCTGGCAATATTCTGCATAATTCAAGATACTCGATTATTTGTTGCTGAGCTAATTTGTTCAGAACTTTAAAGCATAAATTCAAAATATGTGTAACGTGGAATAAAACTCTAGGGAGACACACAGTTAACATATCAAGACGCATTACATCAGAACCCATTGCACCAGATTTAATCTGCTGGATGGTTCTGTAAATTGCATAGGGATCAACGACTTTAAACGAAAATTTAAAATTATGATTATACCAGTTACGTTTGTAGTAAATTAAAGGTATCATCATCTAGCTCACCCGCATCATATACATTGTGAAATAATCATTGATCAAGTTTGCATCATTGAGAGTATCGGGTATCAGAGGCCTCGAAGAAAAATTAAGATTTATACTCTTCAATGCAGCCCAGGTTTTTTAGACTGCCTGCTTCTTTGAAGATGCAAGAAATAAGCTGTTTTTTCACGCCGCAAGGATGAAAGAGCGAAATTCCTCAACTCCTTATAATAGCAGAAGCTTTCCCGAGTTTTTTTGGCTTTATGGTTAGACAGAGCAGCATCTCTTTCTTTTAATATTTGCTTAAGCCCATAAGTAAGCCATGGAGAGTGAGGTTTATTGACTCGTATAATTTTTGACGTAGAATGTTTATTGAAGAGTTCAGTTATCAAATTATTGAGGAATTCTACTTTTTCGTCTATTGACTGCAGATGGAATATACCATCAAATGGAAGATCATAAAGGTCCCGTAGAAACAATGCCTCATCGAAATTAGTGAAATCACGTAACGATATGTACTTCTGTTTCATTTGATAAGGCGGAATCTGCATTGTGCACGAGCCCATCTTGTCGTCAGATATATGATGAGCATCAAAAGTAAGGCAATTAGTAAATGATCCAGGTTGATTTACATATATTGGATCTAACAGGCTTCTACTGCTAGGTGCCACCCTAATTGGTGATGAAACCAATTGTGCGAAGCCATGAGTCTCTAGACATGAAGATAAGGGATTGTCAGGTTCTAATAAGTTGACATTAACGTCACCCAATATAATAATGTTTTGAAAAATGCTTGAGTAGTGTGAAACCGTGTGATCTAGTATAGCAATGTAGTCATTGAGGCTCTGGGATGGAGGTCGATATAATACACATACAACAAAAATTGATTTTTTACATGTAATCTTAATCCATAAGTGCTCCATGCACTGAAGACCGTTAACTGCCACATCAAGAAGCTCTACATTTAAAAAAGATTTGACATAAATACCAATCCCACCACCACGTGATCCTCTGTCTTTACGGATAAAGTTATACCCAGCGATGCTGACAGACTCTGACAGAATGATATCTGTAAGCCAAGTTTCACTGATAGCAAATATACGTATATCAAAGTCATCAAAACGAATAAGTTCACTGACAGCATCAAAATCGGTGAAAACAGAACGTACGTTGAGATGACCTAATTTAAACTCAGTAATAACCTGTCTAACCATAACTTATCCTGTTTTGTAAGCTAGTTATATAATTCTGATAAACGGCACAATTTTTATCAGTTGCTTGATGATCAGTACATAGTTTGGCTTTATACCTATTATTATACCTTACGCAGTTAGAACACAATTTAATATTAGACTGACATGCCCTTGTAAAATGATTGTCCGAACATTTAGGACAGGGTCGGATTTACATCTACTAGCAAAGTGACCAAAAGCAAAGCATTTGAATCATTGAATAATATTTTTTTGCAGTTGCACCATTGAGAGAAATCAGTTGACGTTCAAGGTCGCTTACCTTAGATTTCAGCAAATTATTGGTAAACTCAAATTCATCAACGATTTTTTGAAGATGTTTCTCACGGGAAATGTACTCCATCTCCTTTTTGCAGATAATTAGGTCGACATCAGTGGCGATTTCCTTGCCTATACTGGGAGAGCTAACACTTTGCACTCCGTGTAGTTTTTCCTGACAAGGTTTTGTAACGTATTTTTTGCGGCTATTCATCATATTCTGAATAGTACCTTGTTTACTGATGACTTCATAAACAAGTTCTTGAACATAAAAAAATATTTGACTCCACCTTTTGTTTCCTTCACAGGAAGCAGTTAGCTTCAGTAGATTCTGGTTAGAGTAGTTTAAATAGTTTTTTTATTTCATATATTTTGTAGCATACACATAATGGTTCCTGATTCTTTATGCCTGACAGATGACTAATTTTTGGCAAAGTGCCTATAGATTCCCCTGACGAGACGTGTCAAATAGTAAGACTGTTGAAAAAGCTTTTCACATTACCTGATTATTGAAATGGAATATTGAAATGGACATGTTTGCTTTCCATCTCTTCAACCAGGGCCGCGCTGTTGCTTACTTAGCAGCAACTCATCAGTGCGGTACAGGCCTAGTTAGTCCTAGGGACAGGTGAACGGAAAGCAAGCAAGTGGGTACTGTTGTTTAAAAAACTTAAAATACTGTGCGAAAAATCGGCTCCAGCTACCAATGTCAAGTCAACTTGGTAATCAATTATTATTGATTACCAAGTTGACCTACATCCCCGTCCCATACGATGAAAGATGATGTAAGAACCCGGTAGCGTATACCTGTTCATAACTGCCCGAACAAATAGGAAAAATAATGGGCATAATTCGCAAAAAGGAGGAAAGTGTATTCGAGGAGAAAATAGGGTAGGTAACCAGAGAGATACGTACTTATGTTTGTTGTGAACGCACATACGCAACTACAAAAGTAGATATACGTGCCCATACATCCGGATACGGGTGTAACCTGAGGAATCGAAGTTGATGAGGGAAAAAATGACACACGAAGTCACCAACAGGAACCAAGCTACACAATGTAGAGAGCAAAATACGTATCGCTCGGGTTACCTATCCTATTTTCTGCTCGAGTCCAGTTTTCTTCTTTTTGCGAATTTTGGCCATTATTTTTTGTATTCATTATATACCTTTCTCTGCATTATCCTTTTCTCTTTGTAGATCTTTTGGGATTGAAGTACCACGGCAAGTGGCTATAACCGGCCGCGTGGTTGTGGGTAGATGTCGCCTTAAAAATTCGAGGTCTTCTGGCCATTTTATACTACAGTAATACAATAGTTTCAAACGGCCTTTTGAAGTCCAAGAACGCTGTCACTGTATGTTTCCTGTTGTCCATACATCTCCTCCAGTCTTCTAAAACCATTTGTATTGCCGTTTCAGTTAAGTGTTTCTTCTTGAATCCAGCTTGAAATTTGTTTAAAATTTTATTTTCCTCGATAAATTCGATGAGCTGTTCGTAAATAATTTCTTCAAAGACTTTTTTAACATTTATTTGGTAGAACACTTTTCGCTGTATAACTCAGAATTCTTAACTTTCGAAACAGGAGTTATGGTAGAACACGTCAGTTTTGTTGGACATTCGCCATATTGTAAGCAGTAATTCATCAGAATTAATATTCTTGCTCCAATAATATCAAAACGCTCATTAAGCACCCTTTTAGACAAAATCTCACTCTTATTTTGATTTGATTTCATTTTTGATATAATTTTCTTCAGACGATTAATGTTTATTGTTCTGAATACACTGAATGATGCATTATAATCTGAATGGGAAATTGGTGGGGATCTCCGTCAATAATTGATCTTACATGTCTTGACACCTTCTATGAAATAGGTATTCATTCGATCTGCTATTATTTGTTCAGTTTTCATTACCCCATCGTCGAAATTCATTTTATACATTTAATGTCTTTCCTCCAATAGGAGAAACACTAGTTTTTCAATGTTTTCCACATCTGTTTGCTATTTTCAATCTGTTGCAGATTGGTTTTTTGATCTTGTGTATTCTAGCCAATCATTTTCACTTCCAGTAATCATAAACCTTTTATATTTGTAGTATGTTTTCAATTTAGAATCCTTAAACGTCTGTGAGAATCAAGGTGTTGGATTTTACCTTTTATAAATTGTTGTCTTGACTGTTGTTTCTTTCATGCAAACTTCAACATTATCCAACAGGCTTGCATAGTGGCTATCAACGTCAACAAATATTTCTGTCAAATCTTGCAGTAAAAGAGCTCCTCGTAATTTTACATAGTTAATTTTAGTAATTTCTTCTACTTTGTTAGCATCAAATTTACTTTCAACTTCAAAACATCCATGAATGATCACTGATTTTAGGAGTATGCATAAGTTTTGCAATTAAATTTTGTTCGTTCGTTATTATCAAATCTATAATCGTTCTTGATTGATTTGTAATTCTGGTGTGATCATAAGCTTTTTGCCATAGCCTCATCACTTATTTTACAGACCTCCTATGTATAAATACGCACGATTGAAATGAAAACGTTTGCTTTCATGGTATGGGATGAGGATGAATATCAACTTCGCAAACTATTGATATGTGGAGATCGTCCGTATAATACTTCACTTCCAAGTGCCCAATCTCGAAATTGTAATATTCAAGTAGCTGTGAGACCTAGGTTCATCAGTTCGCGTTATATTGATTGTTTGTACGGCAGTTATTACTGTTTTCCATTTGAACAATATGAAATAGGTGAATGAAGAAATGGAAATTTATTTTTTATACCTTTTTCTGATGAAATTCTCGATATTCAGCAAATAACTGCTAAAAATGGCAACAGTGAAGTAGGGGTACTTAACAGATTCGGCAACATGGTGCTCCTGTGCGACATCTATGAGGTTGTGAGTGCGCGAATGAAATACGTGACAAACAGTAGAATTTTTACACCAGCAAAATATCATATAGCTAAGCAAAATATTATTCGTACAGTAAATCCGTTTTCCTGAATTTTCTGTGGTTTTTAGGGTTTCAGTTAGGTGTAAAAATTTTACTTGGCCATAATACGAAGTTTGTGGTAATTTGCGAATGTGGGTTTATTTTAACACCTAATAAGCAACATACAAGGTCCCAAAGTTATATAACAAAGAGCATATTGAGCGGTTCCGTTAGTTATTATCACTTAGATTTTGCAAAATCGATATGGAGATATGCGACATACTACCGCTAGCATTGTATATATATTGTTATAGACGACACCTCTATCACATATTATTCTATTTCAGGTTCCGAAAATATTCGACGCGGTATTTGAATGCACATTGGACATGATCAACAAGGACTTCGAGGAGTATCCAGAGCACAGGACCAACTTCTTTTTGCTACTGCAGGCTGTGAACAATCACTGCTTCGCTGCGTTCCTAAATATACCGCCCACGCAGTTCAAACTGGTGCTGGACAGCATCATATGGGCTTTCAAGCACACCATGAGGAATGTCGCAGACACAGGTATGCTGCAATTTGCTTTCAAGTTGAGAAAGAATGCGGCAACTCGCAACGAGATTATTTTCTGAACTTTCAAAAATTGGTTTCCCCTTTGGTGATTGTTAAAATCGATTCGTTTCGGAAGTACAGTGGGACAAATGAATTGGGAACATTTCCCTGATTTATTTTTTATGTATGACTAGGCGCACTTAGCTGCAGGACAGAAAAATTATGTCCCTATTCTTTCGTCACTTTCGAAAGTAAGTATTAATAAACTTCTTCATAAAAATATGAATTTGGCGAATGTTTAAGACTTCAAGTTTTGTTAGCGTTCTATCACCTGTTTTGCGGGTGGTTACTACTTAAACAGTTTGTTGGAGTCAAAGAGTGAGATTTACAAACATCACTTCAGAGTCCTTTGATACTTGAGAAACACTCAATGGTTATTTCCTGTTTCATAGTGGCTGGGAAGCGACAGCTCACTTGAGGGTCACTCACGGGAATTTTTCAGGATAAGCAATTTTCGTTGTCACCTAGTCATTGTAAGCAAGAGTCATGAAGGGGGGTTTCTGGAATTTATTGAGAACAACGAGAAATCACCTGCAGAGGGCGGCAAGAAGATACTTGAGGGATGCTACAAATCCGTTCATTTTTTTATGATGAACAAAAGTTCAAAGGCACGATATAGATTCCCAAAGGCACAATAAGAGACAACATAGCCTCATTCATTCATGAAGACTGGAATAAGCAGACTGGTAGAGGATTATCCATTCTGCTAATACAATATTTATTTGCTGCAATCCGTTTTTATGTAAATGGAAAATTTCAGGTTTGAACTTCTGAGAAACTATTTGTGTATATTTGCCTATACAAATTCTTTGTTCGTTTGTAAATTGTGTATGGCGATTTACAGAGGATATAACAAGCAACTGTTTTCAAAACTATGAAGAATAGTCAAAGCATATTAGACGAAAATACATGGACGCATAAAATAGGTTCACCAATTTTTGTGGGAAAACTTTTTATTCGACAACAAAGAATAAGAAAACGTGTTTTTTGGGATTCAATCGAAAGTGTTAGCAGGAACGAAAAAACTCTTTATATAAGATTTTTAGGTATTTATGAGACCTACAAATTAGACCACACGTAAAAAGATCCGACTAATAGGAAAAAAGTTATGGCCGAGAATCGAGGCAAACTGCAGGATTTGGCACTTGTTGGTAATGAGACGATAGTTTCTTGCGCATGCTTGAAATTCTTCAAATTCATAGGATTCGTACTTCTAAATAACCACAACAAAATTGGAGTAGATTGTTCAAGTAGTTTTTGAGAATTTCTAATTGCTTATCCCAAAACACCTATTTTCCGGCCATCTCTATTAGTTTATTGAGCAATATGCAGGGTTAGTTCAAAGGGAATTTTTATAGCAAAATACACTAGTTTACCTTGCCGATATGAATCGCAAACCATTCCGGAAGATGAATGTTATATCTATGCAAAAAAGGATGCGTTACGTTTTTTCTTCTGAACAAATTCAAAAATTTCGTATTGGTGAGTAATCCGCAACAAAAAAGATAGACTCATCCGCTTTGTTTTAAAATGTGTAATTTGTTTGTATCTTCCGGAATGGTTTGTGATTCATATCGGCAAGGTAAACACGTGTCTTTTGCTATTAAATGCTCTTTGAACGAACCCTGTATATTGCTCAATAAACTAGTAGTGATGGCCGGAAGGCCGTTCCCGTGAATCCGGTTGAATCCCAAAAAACACGTTTTCTCATTCTTTGTTGTCAAATAAAAAGTTTTCCAACAAAAATTGGTGTACCCATTTTATGCGTCCATGTTTTAAATACCCCATTGAACAACGTGCACCCCCTTTAACCAGACTTTACAATTATTTTGTCCCAAAACTTTTAGGACATACGTTAGTAGTAGTAGTAGTAGTAGTAGTGGTGGAGAGGTGAAGTCCGAACCTTAGACCTTTCTTGTCGACTTTATAGTACCAACACTGCACTACTCCATGAGCCATCTACTGGTAACTGATATAATATACCAGCTCCAGCGATGAGATATAAGTTAATATTGCACGACGTGCGTGATACAGACAACACGACATCCATGGCAAGGAATTAACTTCCGAGGTGGAGATTCGAACCCGTAAGCTCCGGGTTACTACCTCGTCACGCTAACCACCGAGCTACTCAGGCTCCCTAATTATGGCTAAGAATATTTTTCTTCGGCATGGAATTGGAATTAACCGCTCAGCACTCTATTTGAATTTTAACACAAGAACTGAATTCGAAAATTCTGAATCTCTGACAGCTAGTTCCAAAATTCCCTGTAAGATAACGGTTCTTCTTTCCTTAAAGTTGACTCTTTGTACATTCCTGCACTGTACTGCGAGTACCGTCGACGGCTTGTAATAGCTGATCACTGTATATTTACTTTGCACCTTGAACGCTGTGTTTTTTGCTTATAGGTCTCCAGATCCTCCTGAAACTCCTCCAAAACGTGGAACAGCACGAAAGTGCAGCGCCCAGCTTTTACCAAACCTACATGACGGACATCCTGCAGCACGTGTTCTCAGTGGTGACTGACACGTCTCACACTTCGGGCTTGTCCATGCATGCCACCATTTTGGCGTATATATTTTCATTGATCGAGGCAGGAAGGGTGAACTGTCAGCTGGGACCGACGCCGGATAATATGCTGTACATACAGGTCAGTTTTATGCTACTGTTCTTATTTTCTACCCTTAAATTCGGACTACCGACGTTATATCTCTAGACACTGCCGTTCATTCATGAATATACATTTGTTTAATTTCCAACATTCCTTGATGACCGGGATAACGGACTACCGCGATGGAAATAATGACTGAAGAAGTGGGGTATCATAACGAAAATATTACCACAGTCACAACAAAATAATGATCGATTATTCAAGCTGTGGAATTCGCGTCGGCCATATTATTTATATGAAATTCCCCTGATGTATAAGAATCTAGCAGGTGAATAAAGAATCGATTTTAGGATCATGCCGTAAGATGTAATAATCCGTGAAATATGTATTTTGGTCTCAAAAACTAAATTGATGAAATACGTCAGAGTTATTTTTATTTTTTGATTTCCATGTGAATACCAAATACGTATTTCTTTTTTTATGATTTTGGATAGATGTACAGAATTTTGGAAGATTTTCTACAATAAAAATACAATAATTAGTAGTCATTGTTTAATTTCATAATTTATTTTGTAAGTTTATAATGCATTTGCACATCGTATTGTGGAGCGTGTTAAACTATATAACAATAATAATAATAGTTAATAAAATATCTGTGTTTCATCTGGCGGAAATAGTGGGTCGGATTCCAACCAGGACTCATATTCTTTAAACTGGAGTGGAACTGAGTGGAAAGAGGCTGTGGCTCTCTTTCTGCTGAATGATCTGAAATTCTGACAGATGTTGACATTTGACAAACAAGTTTATTAAAAAAATCTACGCTATTACCTACTAACTAATATACACAAGATACATCAGTCACTTATGTAGGACTTTTCGTACAAGATGCTCAGAAGGCGCTGTTAAACATCCTCACTTTCTCCCGCGGGGAGTTTACTTCGACTCGAAGTTCATGAATCCTCTTTCTTTGACCTGTATAATATTCGTCATTACGCGAATTTTTTCTGCTCTTACAGGTGACGAAAAATTAGTACTGGGCATATCTCCAACATAAGGACTTTTCCTAAAAAGAAAATCAAAATCACATCCTTCAGAATCGTAGTTTGACAAAGCTGAATGTTTTTTCAATTAATTGTCCAATATCTCAACAGTTTGAAATCAAAACCCCTTAGTATGTCATACCAGATTGCCTTGTTTGAAAGAGCCTATCCTAATCTGCAATAAAATGTAGAGCATTCTATTCAAAACATGTATGTTTGGGTTGTAACATAGTATTGATCAACATATTCCACCAGCATGTAGTCACGAATCACTCTGTAGAGACAAAAATATTTTCCACGTCCGTAGCATTCTGTTGGATACCATTTTTGTATTCAAATTTTTTAGATACCATTTGTACTGAGTTGTCCTCCAAGCACGCACTAAGAACTCATCCTGTATATCAGGTAGAAAATTACCCCCTTAGAGTTAATAGGTTACATGTGAGAAATTGATCAAAATAAGAATTCCATGCTTCAAAGCTTATGCCACGACTTAACACGTTAACTGACCATGGATCATATGTGATTCATTAGACATGTTTGTCTACACGCCCTTGAATCATATATGATGCATTGTACTTGCGTTGCATTACGATATGTTAAAAACGGGACGTGATAATTTATAGAATTTTACACCATATTTGCTACATTTTGAGGGGTTGCATTGTATAAATTTTAACCTTCTGAAAGAAATCACTTGCTCGGGTATCATCGGACTTATGTTTACATATGATTCATGAACATGAGATATATATTATTTTCCAACTTATACGTTCATGAGTCATATGTGATCATGAAAGATGGAGGGGAGAGAGTGATGAGATTTTGTCTATAAAACATAGTTGAAAACATGTCATAATGGTATATTAAAAAAAATATGTGTCTGGCGTACTGGACGTGTTGCTGGAATTCCGAGAATATGCTTGTACAGTTAACGTGTTCTACACTAGTGTTCTCGACATGTTACGCCGCCAGATGGTAACTACCTAGTGATTTCCAGTGGTGGTTAAACGTTTTGGTAACGTCACATTCATTTTTGACATGATTCGGGTGGTTTCGGAACTCGTCTTACCCTTGGATAGCCCTTTCCATACTGTTTTATGCTCGTATTGACGTGAGTATAATAATTCTGTGGCATCTCGTGTTCCACGACGATTTACGGACCAAGCCAGGCGGTGAATCATCTGTTGTTTTTGTTTGACTTGTTGGCGAATTTGCGGTAGAGATTTGTTTTGGTGTGTTTTTCTGTGTTAGACTTGCTTTTTTGCGAATAATTGAGGTTGGCCATGCCTAGAGCAAAAAAACGAAAAGCCGCGCTGGTATTAACTCCTGACCTTAGTGAAGAGGTACCTGTTGAAGGCACGTGAACGCAATCCGACATCGCCAGAGGAGTGCCTAATGATGACCTTGCAGTAAGTATTCAAATCTGTACATTTTTGCATGAATGACTGAACATATTGAGGTTATGGTCATTTTCTTAATTCAAGGTCACTTCTTAAAATAAAGTTGAATATATTGAACTTTTCCTTAAGAACAAACCAATCACATCAGCCTGGAATTAGAAGATGGGTAAGAGCCATCGATACTGTACAAACGTCGATAGTCGATATTTATTTCGAGATGTTCGATCTATTTTATATCGCTGTTTGGGCAAATGGTTCGTGGATAGTTGTACTTGGAAGAAACATGATATGCCCTTTCTTACGCATGACAGTTGAGAGCTGAAAATTGGGGCGGCTGGATTACAAAAATCAGAGATGTATGTTAAAAATTATAATAGTCAGTGGTCATGTTTACTTCATCCCATAACAAAGTGCTTATAGTGGTAGTTTCAGCAAAACATATCAGTATTGCTACAGCATAAAGTAGATAAAAAAAAAAAATTGCATAAAAAAATAAACATGGGTCCTAACTTGCTCGCTAACCAAGATAGAGGATGTTAAAATTATATTCTAGAAAGCGAACAAAAAAATATTGATGGAATGGTGTACACCTGGCCAATGCTGTTAATTCGCAGCCCACCAAATATGTAATCTATTTTGATGTTTATTGAAGTAAACAGATGAGTAGCACGTAACTTCTTTTTATGACATCTGTAATGTTGGTAATAACAAATCTGGTAAAGCCCAGGACCAAATTACGGACTGGTGTTTGGTATCACCAATGAAAATTTGTTTACGCATACATGTTTTCTCTGACTGAGAATTTTGGCAATCAAATGTATACTTGCTAGATTGGGAATTTATACATATGTACAGAGCAGTATCATCTGAAGGGCCGTGGTGAGATGACTATGTTTCTGTTTACTGTTAGCTGACCAAATATTTTTTTTGTTTCACAGTGTCAACATCCTTGGAGGAGACAGTTGGAATGAAGATTATCATTTATTTTATGGATACCAAATTAATTGTCAATGACATCAGGAGTTTGTTTCCTAATTTGAAGAAACAGTTTGTTTTTTACGTGTTTTTTTTTTTTTTTGAGGACAATTTTGTTTGCTTTCACCCTTTAACAGTGTATGCAAAATTGTTTTGATCCTCCTCCTTTAACTACAGATGTATTTTGTTGTTATTTTAGTATTTATGATGCCGCGATAAACATACATGATCAATTAACAAGAGATAGTGCTTGCATGATATTGCACTGATCAGGTTCATAATACAGAGAAAAATCTAGATGGGTAGAATACTTCTATGTATGTACAAAGTACTGTAATGAAGAATTTGTTCTATTATTGCTGGGACTGTTCAATAAATATTTTTTTAATTATACATTTTTTTTATTATCCTGAAATTCATTACTAGCCAAACTAATGAAAGAAATACTTCCTTAATTGAGGATGTGTTATGCATCTATGATCATCGAACTGCCTCAATATCGCCAAGATCATCAGTCATATTTCATAATGTAAACATATGAAATCGCCGGCACATTCCTGGCATTCCTGATATGCGGAATAAGCATTCCACCGACAAATCGTTTTTTTTCGACGGAGAAAAGTCCAGATAACATTTTTCAAGCTAGTGCTAAGCTTGCACTGCATTTTTCCCATTAAATAGCAATCTTTTATCAACTCACGAAATTCGGGTTTTTCTCATTTTTAACACGATTTCAAAAGTAGCATCTGTAGCTTAGCTGTTTATGGTCCGATTGAGATTATTTGAAGGTTAGTTCTTTAAAAAAACGAAGTTGATTTGATACTACTAACGTAAGCTGTAGAGTGGTCGCGGGACTTGTTGAACGATGTGTTTTACGAAGCCTCATTGGCTTGTAGCAGTGAGAGACGAAAATTGACATTATGAAGTTTTCTATACTTGTTTACAAATATTACTGCACAATTCATATTTCGACGAACGTTATCCTTTTGCATTGACATGGTTATTATTTTTACAGGAATTCATAGCCACATTGCTAAGGTCCGCTTTTCCACATCTCACTGACAACCAGATCAAAATTAACGTACAAGGCATGTTCAATTTGAATCAGGATATTCCTGCATTCAAGGAACATTTGAGGGATTTCCTGGTACAAATCAGGGTAAGTGTTTTTTACTATTTTAGCATCTGTTTTTGTTTGATGCTAAGCAAGCTTTTGAGGATAGTTGAAAATAAAATTGTCATCCTGATTTAAACTTGACCCTGTCCCAATTTATTTAAAATCATGCCAACGAACATCTATATGAGGGATTCATTTAGAGATTTTATATTAAAAATATGAAAAACAATAAACTTTATCGGGTTATCCTTATTATCGAAGTAAACATTCTTGACATTCGATTAACAGTATGTAAGTGAAGTAAAATAAATACAACTAAAAAATAAAGGTATGAATAAATCAAGTGAAACTTCGAATTAACAAATATTTCCCTTTTTTATCCTTTTGGCGTCCTAATGTAAACACAAATGCTTTTTTTCGGTTCATGTTTCATTTTATTGATGAACGAATCTGAAGAAATTTTAACGTTGGAGCTCTCTCGGGATCATTTTTTTGAATTGCCTAACCTATAATTCCGATATTTATTTACAACTGATTTGTAAGTTTGCACATATTTGCAGTTGGAATTTTTTTAACAATGGTTCTGAGGAATTAAGGAATTGTCAATGATGAAAAACTACCGGGGGCGATTGGGGAAAGCACATTATACCTATTTCTTTAAAATATCATCACTACAAACCGAAAGTACATATACACTACCCTCCAAAAGTTTGGAAGCACATCTGTTTTTGGCCAAAACGAAACATTACCTACTATATGCGGTAAAAATTTGTAATAAATGTTATCTTTATGGCTTTTTACTATTGTTTACACAAGAACAACGTTATCATCTGCTCTCCTTAAACGTGTTTTTACAAATTCCTAGATGTTGACAAAACACCTATTTTATGACTTAATCCTGCTGTTGCTCTTTTGTATTTTGACGTGTTGCTATCGGTAGTATTTGTTGTTTATAACTTGTTTGGGTTCTAGTTAGTCGCATTTGAGTTTTGGCACGTGCAAGTTGTGACAATGACATTATCAGGATTCGAAAATTGTTGACTAAGCTTTTCCCATAATTTTTCGACGCTTAACAGCACCACAAATCACCGCAACTGTGAATAGCAAGCGAGGAAAGCCCATCTCAGTAACAACTGAAACGACGACTTCTGTCTGTGGGTCTAAGGGGATGTGTTGCTTCAAAAAAAAAAAAAAATAACAGACACAAGAAAAATATACTTTAATGGGCAAAGGCACGTAAATACTGGACGACAGGTCAATGGGAAAATGTTCTATTGAGTGATGAATTAAAGTTTTAGATTTTCGGATCCAATAGACGTGTGTTTGTACGCCGTACAAAGGAAGAGAGGGCTTTAGAAGCCTGTACAGTACCAACTGTGAAACATGGTGGTGGTAATGTGATGGTTTGGGGGTGTTTTGGAAACAATAAACCGGGAAGTCTTGTGAGGATAACTGGAAAATTGAACAAAGAAGGTTACTTAAAAATTCTTCAGGACTCAACCTTACCCTGTGGACTAAATCTCATTGATCCTTAATTCACGTTTCAACAAGATAATGACCCCAAACGTTCATCTAAACAATGCCAGAATTTTTTAAAGAACAAAACAGAGGAGATGGTTTTAAAAATCATGCAGTGGCCATCGCAGTCACCTGATCTTTCTCCAATAGAACTTGTCTGGGATGAACTCGACAGTAGGGTGAAAGATCGGTCTCCTACGAGCTCAGAACATTTATGGGAGTTATTAGAGAGTGAGTGGAACAAGTTAGACGAAGATTATTTTAACAAATTAATCAATGGAATGTCTAAAATATGCGCTAAAATATTATTAAAGCAAAAGGTGGGCACTTCGATGAAGCTAAAATTTGATTATTTTTCACATTATTTGTTAATTTTCTGTTTTGTCTAAGTTGCTTTTAATTAATTTTTTAATTTTATATGAATAAAAGTCATTGAAGATGGCTTAATTTTGTTTTATTTGATTTTACCCCGCGGCTTCGAAACTGTTGGACGGTAGGTTATATTCATACTAGTACTAACATGCTATTAAACACATTATGTAAATGAGACTTACATACTATTTTTTAAATTAATAATGAATGATTCTGAATTTAGTCTATTACATTAATAAAATTTTATAAATTGGTTTCAGAACCAATACTCTGTAAAACTACTCTAAGAGACAAAATATTCGGATTAAGCCTTATAGTAATGGTATATAAAAGGCCTTCAGGGTACATTACACAAGTTAATTTGCATCTCAAAAATCTTTTAATTCCGCTCATTTTCCACCGTGCAGCGTGACGTTACTTGCGAAACCATGGCTCCACTGTGACAACAATCTGATGAGCAGTTAATTTCTTGTTTTTTGGACTGATAAATTGGCTTTTTTTGACAATTTGTGCAATGTTTACATGGTTAATACAGTATGATTTTAGAAATTACAAGTCGGCATTACTGGGGATTTGAGCTCAAAATGCAAAATTTCAAAATATATCACGTTACCCGCAGGTTGTTTAATATTACAGATCACCCGACACAGCTCGTTGTCATTTATGCTTTTGAAAAAGTAGATCTAAATGAATCACTGATCATTATAGCATTTGACAAATATGCATTTTATTATTTTTTTTTTGATAGGAATATACAGGTGAGGACGATAGCGACCTGTTCCTAGACGAGCGCGAAAAGGCTTTGCAAGCTGCCCAGGACGTGAAACGGCGCATTCAACTGTCAGTGCCGGGCATCCTCAACCCTCACGAGGTCCCCGAAGAGATGCAGGACTAGCCCTCCTGCTACTGCTTCTATCCCCTCCGCTACTCCTGTTTATCAGCATCCCAATGTTCATCCCTCACTCCTTCTACTCGAGTCGTCGTCAGATGTCAGCTTTGTCAGTACGGTTAGGAGAAATTTGTGGATGATGACAATAGGTGGCGCTGCTTGTTAACATTCGATTGATGCATTTTAACATAGCGTAATGTGTATTTAGGAAACTGCCCGTAGAAGAATTTTAGGCTCAAAGACGCTTTTTTCTTTTTTAACATCCAGAACTCACACATTTTTGACAACTATTTTCTATAATGATTCCAAAAGTTCTTTGCTTTCAGCATCTTTATTACATAACTTAAAAATGACATTGTATAGTTTTACAAAAAAATGTCACCTTGGAACTAGCTGTTATTCACTTCACATTCATTTGTAGTGATATGCGTAGTGCTTAAACATCATGACACTTGAGCTATATGACTTGTCTATGTGATGAAACATCTGTTTCAGAGATGGCACTCTTGGAAGCCATTTGTAGCTTCTATGGCCATAATCTATGTTGATGATAATTCCGTTGGTTTAACGAAGCATGCGGGTGAAATGTAAGTAGCAGAATCTTAGGCAACGTGGTTATTGAACCATTCCTCCATAGATGTCGCTCACAGCTTGTAGACGCGAAAGGGGCTAGCTACTACTTAGTACAAGTTGCCATTGTACCAATTTTTAATAACGCTACGTAATACCCGTGCCGGCGCGTTAGTTCGGTATTCTATGTCATTTCGATAGGCTCTTCAAGAAAAAATATATTGCCTGAAAGTATGCAGAAAATTAGTTTTTGTATTCAAGTTGTGAGCACAGTATGGCTGCGCTGGTACTTATTGTAGTTTTTGGTATACAGGTGTTGACAAAAGTAAATCATAAAATTAAGAGTATTCCTATGATTCTTTTATATGGTGGAACTAATGTTTTTTCCTATATTACACGATAAATCGTTTTTCAGATATTTTAATATAATTTTCCATTTCAACATGTCCAACAAAATCGTGAATCATTATCAGTGGCATAAGACTGTAAAATGTGTAATATTTTTCATTACACTTTTAGTCTAAACATTACTATATGAGGCCTTGTCGATAAGAGACTGAGTATAAAAAATACCTATGTGGCATATTATTAAGGGTTCTATATGAATAGATATTCTTTATAGCTTATAGGAAAACTAAATTTTCATCGGAATCTGGAGGTATGTGTCAGAATTTTTCCCACACATTAACAAGGACACCTTTGGTGAAAAAATAAAGATGATGAATACAAACATTTCCATCTAAATTTGTAATTAGACTTAAAATAAGTTAAGAGCTTTGGAATGTCGTGCATTATAAGTATTTGGACCAATTTATTACATAAAATCATATAAATATATCAACTTTTCATTGTTTTGTCGCATTACTCTCAAATTATTTCTGAATCTTAAATAATTTTACTTTTCTGATGAACTTGAAAATCACCACACCTTTCGTTTCGCCAACGAGAGTTATATAATATATAGAAAGTGATACTTATCAATGATAATTATACTTTTTTTGTTTTCAAAACATTTTTTTAAGTTACTAAATTTATTCCTGATTGAGCTAATATTTATAAAAGTTGTGCCCTTGTCGTAGTAACACCGCCAATCCGAATGACATGGAGTGAGATTATAGAAACATCTTGTATGATATATTATATTTGCCCATGAATGGAACAAGTAGCGCCCAGTCATCAAAATTGGATAGTTTTTTGGACTAAGTCGAAAAAAAAAAGAAAATTTGTGAACCCCATTACCCTGGTACAGTATAAAATCATTGGAATATTTTATATGCTTGCAGTTATTGTTGTATACGGTGTGGTTCAAATTTGGCTGATATCGTAATGTATATGAGAGAGAGGTATGCAATATGTATGTCCGTGGGCTTGACACTTGGGTCGCTAGGCAATGAGGTGCTTCAATCTCTTTCTACCACACGTATACGCTTCTCGAGCTTCTCTCTCTTACACATTACGACGTCAGTGGTATATGGATTTCACTGTACATATATGCAAAAATGATCATGTACTACTGTTGTATTTTCCAATTATTGCAGTGCTCGAAAATTCTTATCAACCCAATATCACTTTGATTTTTTATTCAGAAATTTTAAAACGAAGCTAATATCTAACAAATTCCATAGCTCTGTATTAGAGATCACTAAGAGTATCCGATTTTAAAAATCTGTTTTTTTTTTTGTCTACCTTCTGGATAGATTATGTTATTGCCAAGTGTATATCGAAAAAGCAGCTTTCTAAAAATGTTTCGTTCAAAATGATCGCCATTTTTCTAACGATATTTTTAGCTGTGCTAAAATGGGAGGTCTATATAAAGCTGCCATGAATTTTTGACAGGCGGCAAAAGGAGTGTCCTCCTAGGTTAGGTAGAATGTATATATTATAGGGTATTTTTTAGAAATTGATATGATATGATAACATATTTTACATCGTCTGATTATATCTGGATAAGTGATAGTAAGAGAAGAATGCAAGTATATGTGGATTTTTTCTCACCTCCTTTTCAAACAATTATAATTTTTTGTCTAAAGGTTGCTCCACTTAACATCTTTAAATAGGAGTATGAAGTCAAACGTATTAGAATTTGCTCAGACCACATTTAAAGTCAAAATAAAAGGTATCTTTCCATTGACTCAAATCCAATGTTTGATATAAAATTTACGGAAGTAGGCAAATTTTCCACTATATCGTAATTTTTGTTGTTATATTAGTATCTTGTGACATACTTTTACTATTTACTTGTTGCACTCAATAATATGAAGCTTTTTCAAATTTTTATAATTCTGTTGCAGATGGCTTCCTTTGTTTTTGGTGTTAAGTGAAATATGTTTAAATTTGGCAAAAGAATTAATATTTTCAAATTATTTTCAGTTACCTATGCAAATTCTGTATTCGTTCCTTCCGAATTTTGATGATACGAAATTAATGAAAATTTTGAAAATATAGGTTTTTTTTTAGTTTGCGTGTCAATTTTTTTTTGTAGAGGTGCATCGGTGATCAGAAGAAGGCAGGTAATGTGAAAATGTAGATTTAGCACAAAACACTGAGTTGAGTTTTGAGCTTTTTTTTAACAAAAAATACGTATGAGATGCTATTTTTTGTTTGAATGCGTGGTTGACTGTTGATACTTTATTTCGATTAAATTTAATAGGAGCATTGAGTTAATCACTATTCGTTAAATGAAGCGATTGTTTTATAACAAAAAATAAACATAAGTAAAACTAACATGTATTTTATTTATCAACTTAAACTAAATTTTAAATATAGAATACACTTTCACTACTAACCCAAGAAATCGAGTAGATAAATAAAACTAAGTGCCCTTCCAGATGGACGCGTATGGTACGCGTGCGTACCATACCCGTGACGAGTATTATAATTTATACGTACGTTTTCACATGAGCGCGTATGCTCAGATTGCTCGGATCTAGTCAGTTGCTTTCAGATGGTACGACACGTTTCACTGCCGTTGAGTGTTCATCGTTGCCGAGATATACCAAAAAATAATGATTATCATTAATAAGAAAACTTTAAACAGAAAATGGCTGATAATCATAATAATATTGATACTGAACTTCTTATTGGGGAAGTTGAACAGAGACCCAATTTTTGGAATGACTGAAGAGTACAAAAACAGAGACTTAAGACAAAAATCTTGGCAAGATATAGGAATAAAAGTTTAGTTGATGGTTTCAATAATTTATCACAGGCAGAAAAAAAGATATGTAAGTATAAAATATTTTTATTAATATAGCTTTTAGTATTCATATACAAACACTTATATGCTCATATTTAATGTATTTTACTATCTTGCCAAGAAACATTTCCATCACCTATGAAATAATTAGCAAACACGTCTCTTACTGTATTGCCAATAACAGAGGATTTTGAGATAATACTGGTTGTGCAGTATTCAGAAATCAGGTCACTGCTAATGCATCTTCAAATTTAAAACCGTCTCGAACCAGATTATGTAAAATACACCAAGCCACTATTTTCACCGCAAAACAAACTTTAACGTTTAGAGGCCTGTGAAATATTCTCCACTTATTTGAAAGTATTCCAAATGAGCATTCGATATACCGTCTACAACGGGATATCTTTTTTTATAATTAAGATTCTTTTCTGCATATGGACGTAACAATTGTTTTGTCAGCGGAAAGGCTATAATTACCTATAATTTAGTCTCGTCAGAACCAGGTAATGGTTTTCCATTAGAAATATTTAAAGAGTTCTCGTTAAGTTTTTTCATGAAAGATCCACTTTTGAATACTGTCGAATCCGAAAACATGCAATATGCCCCAACATCAATGAAAGTGAATCAATAATTTGCATCACAAATTGCCAACTAAAGAATAGAAAACGTGTTTGTAATTGAAACACAGCGAACGCTTTTTATTCGCTTGATTATTCTTACATGCTTCCCATCAACTGCTCAGATGAAATTGGAAAATTGGCACGTACTTCAAATTACATAGAAATCTCGTCCCATTTTTCTTCAGATGGCATTCCCATATACTCGTTTTTCAGTTGTTCCCAGATAACAGTACAAACTTAATAATTGTACTTATGGTTGATATACCCAATCAAAATCAACCGGTTGATAAAGATAAGTCGTTTCTAGAGTCTTTGTTACCGTCACTACTAAAAAAAAGTAACGATAACAAAAAACTGGAGTTTCGAATAGGAGTTCTAAATCTAATAAAAACAATTACAAATCCTTTGCCGATACCACAATGGGAATATACGAGTACATTCAGGATCAACAATATCAACACCAGCGGTTTCACCCTCATCTGGAAGTTATACAAGCATTCCTTTACGTTCTCCTGCGCCTCCCTATCAAAATACTATTCATAGTTATATTGAATGTAATGCATATAGAGAGTAGACTGCATCTCTGTTTTTTATATCCTATTAAAATTTTGTTAATTACTTGTAGTAATACAACAAATACAAATATATTAGTGTACCTACGAAAAACCCATATGCTTTTCTTATTTTATTCAGCACCACTTTATCACACTATCATACTTTTGCGAATGATATGATACTAATAAGTATAGAATATATATATATATATATATTATGTATATATGTATATATAAATATATATATATATATATATATATATATATATATTATTATAATTTTTACTTGCCTTAGTCACACATCACCGTCCTTTGTCGAAATTGTTAGTCGGACCACATTTGGATGCTTCAAATTATTTTCTATTCTACTATGTAATTGATCAAACATTGTTATTGACATACGAAAGTGATTAAACAACTTTTTTGGATGTTCAGGTAATTCCGAATTCATTGTAACGAACGCACTTTTAAGTAATCGCTTTCCAACAATGGGATGCACCCATCTTTTTTTGTTTACGCTTTTTTAAAAGGTGATATGCAGTAATGGCAATAACGCTAGATGTTTCCTCTTGTATGTTCATTTTTCCACTGCCGTCAGCGGTAATCTGTACGCCTCATGAGAAAGTAAAAACGACGCGTTGTCGTACGCGTAACCTTAATACGCGTGCGTATTATACACGTCCATCTGAAAGGGGGCTAAGTTCAGATGACTCGCGTTCATTTGACGCTCGCTTTGAAAATTCACGGAACCAATACTAGCTGTTAACATGGAAGCGCGGAAGCGCGTGTCAGAAAATGTTCGCGCGTAGTCCCCATTGTTTGTTCAGTTGGCGCTCGTCTTTCGTTGCATTCAGACGACATATCTAGTGTGTCTTTCGAAAAATTTTCTACCATATGGTATTGAAATGAAAACAGAAAGAATTTAACTAGGATCTTGTTATTGATAAGATTGAAAAGTGGACAGCAGTACTAATTTTTTGCAAATTCGATGATACCGAGTAAAAAGTAAATATTAGGTTTGTTCTAAATGCTTCATTTAGTGATTCCAATAAAGACAATAATTCAAATCGTGCCATTAAACGATTTTATTGACATTCTAAAGTAGTTGCAAAATTCGGTTCATCGTTTTGAAGGCTAGGGCAGAGTGTAAGCAATAAACTTGTAGAATGTCTGTTCCTTAAAATCAGGGTTAACCCAGTATACCTTATCTCTTTTACGTCGTTTCATTCTTTCGTATGTTAACAAGCACAAATAGCTTCTTTCGCATGCATTCTCGTTGATTAAACTCAATAAACTGACACTCCATTACCTAGTCACACTCTATATAAAATTTTTACACGTGCCATCTGATCACTGACCCAACAAACCCACGCAACGTCGATGCGCGTTATCTGAACTAGGCCTTAATATCTAAAATTGCATTATGATAATTCCATTATTAGTTTGATAGCTACGAGGTCTTTAAATTAAGTGATGAGACTGGCAACGTGGCGTTCGACCTGGAAACACTGGAGGCGCCGGGCTTCTATTTGAGACAGGGGAACATGTAATCCTCGATCCGCCTTCAGTACAAGCTTGACCTCGCTCGAGACATTTGGTTGTCCTTGGCGATTTTTTTTTTGTGAAACAGTTTTTCCTATTGTGTTCTAAAAATGAATGACGTCAGTTTCAAGTAATGGTGTGTTGTCAGATTTTGCTTCAGAATTGGGCACAGTGCAACGGAAAAACTTGCTAAAGTTCAGCAGGCCTACGAGGATAGTGGTTAGTGTTTTGTCAAGAGCCCTGGTTTTTCTGTCGTTTAAGCAATTTTCAGAAGGGAGAGAGTCGGTTGAAGATGAAACACGAAGCGGAACGCCTTCATCTTCAATAACCGTTGAAAATATCGACATAACTCGGGATCTTGTGCGTTGAGATTTTCGGCTGACAGACAGAATGATCGACAACATTCAAACGGCTGTAACCGACGAATCAAAGACTATTCCAGTATCGGAGTTCCAGCTCTGCTATGAGGAGTGGAAAAATCATCTCTAGCGCTGTGTCGCTTCAGAAGGAAGTTATTTTGAGGGTGGCAATATAGAATTGTAATCATATTTGGATAATTTTTTTTAACCAGGTTTGAGCATCTGTAACTTCTTTCTCTAGAGATACCTAAAGAAAAAGGCGCTTTCACACCATTTTAGCTAAGAGATTGGACTGTTGAAGAAGTTAACGCTATTCCTCGCGATACCTGCAAACAAGATGATCAGAGCATCAGGAGAAGTTTCCAACAGTGAAATCGGCTGCCATATCTCTTCAAAACTTAATAAATACAAAAAGACAGACGCAAATGTAGAAGTTTCTTTGGAAATTACTGGATCATCCACCATAGTACAGCCCTGATTTAGTATTATCAGACTTTCATCTTTTTCCGAAAAAATGCTTTGCGGAAAGTACTTGGAAAATGCCATGTTGAAAGAAAACTGGTGCCACGAATTGACATTTTCAAATGCTTATGGTCACTATGTTGAAAAATGAAAAAAACGATCATATTTTAGTTTGTGATATAATTTATTTTCATAAATGAAGTTTCTCTGACTACATTACAAAATTGTTCTTGATTGTAAAATGACACTCGTAAGTGCTCGCCCAGCAATGTCTCATGCTTCCTCCTTAGTATGTAATAAGCTGTTAAATCGTAAATATATCGTTTTACGTATGAAACTTAATACTATTCTACGTCATTGCTCAAGGAACAAAGTTATCACAATCTGTGACCATTAATCTATTTACTAATTTTAAATGGTAATTAATTTGTTACACAAGTTTGAGCGCCAGCTTTACCCACCTCATAAGTGGTAAAACACTAAAAAGACAAGTAAAATAGATCTTGTGATAAGAGTGACCAAGTTTCAAAATAAACTAACCATTTCGAAAACGACGAACGGATTTTAAGAAAACTTTTGGAAAATCGGAATATTTTAACAAATACATATCATCAGCTTGCAGTATTAGATTTGTTCTCTACGATTATATTATGAATAACAGAGATAGTAATCGACTTGTCTATGTTAGGCTTTTCATCATAGGAAGTATAAGTCCCCTGCTTATTCGTGTGTATTTTCCTAAGTTTTCTCAGCTGTCTTTCTTGGAACATAACCCTGAAGTAATAGCAGGGAAAGTCCATGCATTTCCCTGCTGGTTCTTCGGCGTCGATGTAAACTCCCCGAACTAAAAGGGAATTTGAGCAACTCATTAAGATCAGGAGACTGAAAGAAACGACGTGTGTGATCCAACAGCTGAGAACCACGTCGTCTGAAAAAAAGCGAAAAAATTAGCTCCAGTTTGATAAAAAAGAGATATACAGGGTGATTCAGAGAACAACGCAATATGTCTTAAAATGTCCCATTACAAGATGAAACTGTAGAGGAACAAAACATGCTTATTGGTCAAACGCTATACGAATTTTACCTCAAATATACAAACCACAAATTTTCTCCAAAAGAAGTAGTTCTCAATTTTCTCCAAAAGCAGTAGTGCCCATTCAAACATGCAATAGATATTCCAAAAAATGTCAGTGACGTAGAAATTGATTTTCTTTTACTTCACGCCTACTAACGAGGAAGTATTGTAATCGCAAAAGTTTCTTGAATGAAATGTTTTTTGGATGCTATATATATATGACATGTATATATGTACATCAAGAAAACTAAATGTTATTCATTTCTATCGGTCTGTCTGCTCGGATTTGGATGAAATTTTCACAGAAGGTTACTACTCTGTCAAGGACGAAAAACCTTTGTAGTTTTTGAAAATGGTTCAGTGGAGGTGGAGCTAGGGGCAAGAACACGAAAAAAAATCGCTCGACATCCTTTTCTTGGCGTTTTAGAGTCTCATTATCATTTACAGAAAACTTTTTGTAGGGGGTGGTGGAAGGTTTATATCATTTTTTTTGTGGCAGCATGTACGAGTATACGCTTCCAACCCTAGTAATTTTCGGCACCTATCAGCACATATTTCACACATCAAATATTTCCCCGTATATTTGCACTGATAAGTTATATAACTATTGATAGACGAGACGCGCGGTCTGTCAGGGCGACTTTCATACGCCGAATCCTGCCTTCCGTAAGACAGCATCGCCGTCTGCCGGCAGGGATGTTATGGTTATGTGGATGGTACTTATGACGTGTTTGACTGGTATGGTCCGGCAGCGTTGCCAGTTGGTCGGCAGCGGAGAACTTAAGAAACTGTGTGTGCAGTGTGGTGGTCGTAGATGTTCCCGTCAGAGGGGAGGGGGTTAGCGGCGATAAAATTTAGAAGAGCCGTTGTTCGATTTTCGTCCGCCGGCGCGCATGACGTCACGCGGAGGATGATTATCATTTGGGTTGATATGGATAACGTGCATATTTTCACCTACAGGCCAAACGGCAGGACGGATTTTCACATATGAGGTGTCGTTGGATGTGTCTTAGCGGTGCGAGTGTCACTAGCTACATTGACATTTTATAAAAAAGAAACTGGTGGATTTTGATAAAAGATTTCAACCCTGTAGTTCCTATTTCACAGGCTATAGCTTAAACGGCTTCTAGCTCCACAATAGAGCGTATCGTCTCTTCACTGTAAAAACAAGATAACTCCATTTTGCTTTTTTGTCACTATTCCGTCCCCATTGAATGTAGTGAATACCTGGTTCAGCTTCTCAATTTGATTCATGAAAATTGCGGAAGGTTTTGATAATCCACCCTCACGAAGATGGTCTATCCATGAATAAGTTTCATTTGAGGAACTTTTCAACCTCTCATCCTGCAATTTATTGTAAACAAAGCCGGCCAAATTTTTCAGCCCGTCATACTCGAGCTCATCTATTTCTCCCACTAAAACTTGCTCGGTATAGTCAGCTGATACTTCAGGTGCATTCAGTTTATTCTCGTTAATGATGCGGTTAGTGGTTAGTGGAATGTCTGGAGTATCCTCTGACTCTACGCGGCAATAGGTACTCGTACTCGTATGCGCCTTCGTTTGCCCCAACATATATGACCTTATTCTATACTTAAACTCTAGAGGACTTGTTTGGTCATGAAGACCATCTTTTGCCCTAATTACTCCGAAAAAGTTTTCTATCACTCTTGATTAAGACGTCGTGTTAACAGGTATTGGTCGCTGAAGCGTCGTTTCAGATCCTCTAGAGCATTTTCTAGCAAACCCTAGCGCTTGTTACATATTCACTTTGTCTTATCGTTTTGTGAGATGTAGCCATTTGTTTGCTAAAGTTTGGGTGTTGAGGAAAACTGTGGAACTTCATGTCTTCGCAAAGATTCCGTTCAGATTGATTGTCGGAATTACTTTCCCACAACAGCACACCGCATCTTTATCAATTTATCAACCGCACAGGGTATATAAGGTATGTATAACTAATACAGTCACAAAACCACCAAAAAACACCAACAAATCGCACTATATAGTATTAACCACGATACACGTGAATTTCTGTAACGTTACGACAATCCTGCCGCTGGAAACCACGAGCCGATAACTCTCCGGGTGACGTCACGAAGCTCCGCCCACATGCGCAATACCCTGTCTTCAGCGTATGTGTATCGTTGTTAGCACCTAAGAGCAGCTCCTCAGAGAGCAAATGTCCTTGAAGAGCGGGGGGGAATAGGTCTAGGGGAGAGGAGGGGCTCACGTCCCATTCCAGTCTAGCAAGGGAATTGTATACTAAGTTACTGCAATATATACAATTTTCTTGCCCCCCTTTAAATCAGCCCTTGATATTCGGTACTTAGGGCAAGGAAGAAACTAGCGTTAGCGTTATCAAATCAGTGGAGACTCTGGAGGATGTACTAATTGTGTGTGAGCCTATATGGCTGACTTGACGCAGTCAAGCTCGAAGGGACTTGCGCCAAACATAATCCTTTATGTACTGATGACAGCATTGCGTGGGAATTTTAGAGTGAACTTACTTGACCCCATTTTTTGGATGTTATATGACATTTACATCACGGAAAACGATGTAATTAATTTCTGTTGGTCTGTCCGCAAATCCTTGCGCCATCTATAACTTGGAAAGTACTGCTCGGATTTGGATAACATGTTTGCACAATGTTACTGCTGTTCCGAAAACGAAAAAGCTTTGTAGTTTTTGAAAATCTGTGCGGTGGATAAAAATGTCAAAAACGAAAAAATAGGGTTCAGGGGGTCCTGATAATTAAAAAAAAAATAGAGGTAAAAATTTGGGGGGTGGGGGTTGCAGGATGGAGGAATTTTTTTTTCATGGAAAGCTCAAATAGTGCGCTAATGACTCTCACAAAACCTATGTTTCTTTAATGCCATTGTACTTCAGGGATAATTGCTCTAGAAGCTGTTTCGAAGGCAAAATTTACAAATGAAAGGCACGAAAATGTTTGTATGTATTGGTTATGCTGTTAGAACTACACGTAGAAATCTTAAGACAATATCGTAATCCAGCAGATTGTTATCGATTGTGGAAATCACAAATTCAACATCTTATATCTCGGGCAGCGATATAGGTATACTGGCCCGAAGGGTTTTCGTCCGATTACCCTTTCATATTTTGTGCTCAATACATTGAAAAGGGTAGTGTACAGATTTTTGAGGGATACCCCCCTGGAGAGCCAAGGCCAAGCTCAAAAAAATTCAGCGCTTAACTTGTATCAATATAATAAGCGAAGTGCTAACAACACCATTGGGTACCATGGAAGCTCTGCTCGATCTCCTACCGTTGGATCTAGTTATCCACGGAAGGGTGGGAGATGTCGCACATTGACTGTGGAGTCAGTGCAGCTGGGCCTTCTTGAATCCTGTCAAGAGTCACACTGCCATCGTAGTCGAACTACAAAGATAGGATCCTGTCCTTCTGACAGGGGCTTGTTACATATTCACTTTGTCTTATCGTTGTTAGGAGAAGAATAACAATCTTCTCCGACAGCCAGGCTGCAATGAAGACCCTTTATGCCTGCAAGACTACTTCGAACCTTGTATTAGTAAGCAAGCTCGTTGGCTCTGAGCCAGCCCTATGGGTGCCCGCGCAAAGAGTCAGGAGGAAAATGGAGAAGTGAATGCAAGACAACACTTCGAGAAATGAGAAGCCTCTCTAGACATCTTCGCCAGACAAGGGAACTCATCGTAGGGCACAGTGTTAAGGATGGACGCTTTTGCTTATCTTCGAATAGAGCCAACCTAAGGTTGCTGGTGGAACTGTTGTCTGGTCATAACGCATTGAGGCGCTGCATGTTATGGGGTTGGCTGACGATCCCTTGTGTGAGCGCTGCGGAGTAGAGGAAGTGACCTCGGTCCATGTTCTGTATCGCTGTGAGTCTCGCTGAGCTACTGCAGGCAGACTTTTCTGGGGTCCATCATTTTGGATTTCCAGAACGTTAAGGAGCTTGGACTTAAGGCTATCCCCAATTTTGGTAGAAGGGCGGCGCTTGAGGTTTGAGGTTTAGGGAATGTAGGGGTGCATAAGGGTCCGTTTAAGTGGTCTATGCGCCGGCTTCTCACCGTATGCCTCTAATTTCATAATAATTGATTCATTCATTTCTGTAAGAAGGGATTTAAAGGCCCATCTTTACATGAACCCTTCGTGTTATTTTTGATCTACTTTATGCCATAGAAACATTTTTTTACTATTCTATGAATCACCCTGTATAAAACATCAAGTTGTAATGCTAGTTATTATACCTGGGATAAAGTAGATTTCTAGAAGGTTCCATATGCCTCTCCAAACGTTCACTGTACCAAAAAGTGCGTATAGATTCACTATATCGGATATCAGCAATCTGGATGTGCCACTAGCCTTGTCGCACAAAAATTTTGCTGCTGGTTGGAGAAGGAAAGCCGAAACTACTGCTACATAGCCAATTACCTAAAATAAAAGTATACTTGATTATTCTCCGTTGGAACAACTATAATAATAATAAAAATCGCTTACCAGGCTTCCCCATGCAGATCTTGTAAGATCTTCTGGGTATAAAAAAATATCTACCAGGATCCATGATCCTCTCCATACGAAGACAACGAGTACTCCTACTACTACTACTGAGAAAAGACAGTCTAGTATATACAGTCCTATTGACTTTTGTATCTGAAAAATATGAAGAGAAAATTTATTAGAAACAGTAAATATATTTTTTATAACTTCTATTCTGAGAAACACCTTGGCCTGTAGATTTCCACTCCTATATTTTTGATACATATTCTAATATGCTAACTCTGCCCTTCAGCTTTACTATGATATTTTGTAACACTCCGTATAATTATAAAAAATTAAATTGATGATCAAGTCCAAATGATAAAATACGACTTCATTTGATAAAGGATCAATCTAGTTATTTTTTGTTGGATGGAACTTCGCCTCCAATAAGTGTAAATGAAAAATGTGAAAATTGCATTTTGAATTATGTTTACAGTTTTTGCGGAAGATACGGTATTTGAGCACAACCGCGACAAATGAAAAATCATAATAAATACGGAAAGGTTTTAATAAAACCACATTTACATCATTTGATAATAATTATACTATACCGCTTTCAAAATAATATTGTTTAATGTTTCGATGAGCGAGACATATAATACAAAATAGCAAAAAAATTGTTCGATCCTACCAAGTCCGCCGAATGATATTATCAGCATGCATACTTTTGTAATAATAGACGTATACGTCATTATTAGATGACCTTAAATTTATAAATTTTTTCTTCCTCATTAAGTTGTTGATAGCAATGAGTTGTGTGTGCCTACTACTCATGCCGTATGAAATGAAATTGTATATATGTAGAATTTTTAATTTGAACAAAGTTTTCTATTATAATAATAGCAAACACGATTAGTTAAGAAATCGGTCTAGGCCGAAATTACTCAGCAGTTTTTGTAGAACAGTCTCGGAAATTATGCAGGGCGCTCTGCGCTCCGTGGAATCGTGGTGTAGGGAAGTCGATCTTTCTGTTAATGCTGAAAAGACCGAGCTGATCCTATTCACTAGGAGAAGAAGGCTTGACGGGCTGGTCATGCCGACCTTCTTTGGGACTAGATTAGTTTTGTCCCAGTCAGTGAAATATCTGGGAATTATCCTGGACTGCAAACTGAACTGGAGAGAGCATGTGGAATACAAGGTTAGCAAGGCTCGGAATTCGATGTGGGCTTATAGACGTGTTGTCGGGGTAAGGTGGGGGCTTAAACCCAAAGTGATATACTGGTTCTACTCGACGATAGTACGTCCATCTCTCTTGTACGGCTCCCTGGTCCGGTGGCCTTGCATTAGAACTGAGACAACTAAGGCCAAACTCATAAAAATTCAGCGTTTGGCCTGTATTAGTATTACAAGCGCAGTGCGAACAACGCCATTGAGTGCAATGGAAGCTCTGTTGGATCTCCCACCGTTGGATCTGGTGATCCGTGGTGAAGCGAGAGTAGTCGCTCATCGACTGTGGAGTCAGGGCAGCTGGGCTTTCTTGAATCCTGTCAAGGGACATACTGCCATCTTAGTCGAATTACAAAGGGAGGACCCCGTCCTTCTAAGCAGGGGTGATCGTATTACCCCTAAATATCGCTTCAACCGCAAGTTTATTGTGGAGTATCCAACGAGGGAGGAGTGGGACGCCGGTAGCCGGGGACTCTCCGGAGTGAGCGGGCAGGTCTGGTACACGGACGGCTCGGTCACCGAAGAGGGCTCAGGTGCTGGGGTCTCTGGGCCTAGAAGTAGGCCTCTCGGTGGATACACCACCATTTTCCAGGCGGAAATCTTTGCGATTCTGGCTTGTGTATCTCACATTCTGGAGGAGGGTGGGTCTAGGAGAAGAATAACAATCTTATCCGACAGCCAGGCTGCAATGAAAGCACTAAGTGCCTGTAAGATTACTTCGAGTCTTGTATTGCAATGCAGGGAGGCTCTGGATTATCTCGCAGCGAGGCATCCGGTATCGTTAATATGGGTACTGGGGCACGCTGGGATATGGGGCAATGAGACGGCGGACACTCTGGCGAAGACAGGATCAGCCAGCAAGCTCGTTGGTCCTGAGCCAGCTCTAGGAGTGACCGCGCATAAAGCTAGGAGGAAAATGGAGACGTGGGTTGCAACACAACACTCTCAGAAATGGAGAAGTATCTCCAGACATCTTCGCCAGGCACGAGAACACATTGAAGGGCCCAGTGCTAAGGATGGACGCTTCTGCCTATCTCTGGATAGAGCCAACCTAAGGTTGCTGGTGGGACTGTTGTCTGGCCATAACACGTTAAGGCGTCACCTGCACGTGATGGGGGTGGTTGAGGATCTCTTGTGTGAACGCTGCGGAGTAGAGGAAGAGACCTCGGCGCACGTTTTGTGTCGCTGTGAAGCTCTGAGCTACTATAGGCAGACTATACTGGGGTCCATTACTTTGGACCCTCAGGACGTCAAGGAGCTTGGACTCAAGGCGATTCTCAACTTCGCTAAAAGGGCGAGGCTTGTGATCTAAGGATTGTAGAGGTGCATAAGGGCCCGCTTAAGCGGCCTATGCACTGGCTCCTTATGGTGGCCGGAATGCCTCTAATTTCAAGATTCATTCATTCAGGCCCAAATTAAAAATTGGTGGTTTGGTACTTTTAGTTGTGGGGAGTATATACATACCGGCTGTTTCAAATTCGACTTTCACTATTGGGGTTTCTAAAACCGATAAGAGATACGAAGTCGGTTAAGGCAACCAAGAAAATTGCACTTAGTAAGTTTCTCTATTTCGGCGGTTTCCGGATAGACGAACAAATCGGAATTTTTCCAAAATCGTTTTTATTTCTTCCTGACTTTCAGTTTTTTTCAGTTTTCTTAAACTATTATTTATTTGTTTTTCATTTTTTTGTTCTATTTATCAGTTTTTTGTGTACATGTGACATTGAAATGTCGTATGTCATTTCGTAATCTAATCATTTCATTTAAAGCTTCACTGTTGTATGGGGTTTTTCCTGTTAACTTAGAGCAACCAAGTTCTTCAATCCGAAAACCGTCTAAAGATCTTACACGACTATGTGCTACATAAGCTTGTCCAGCAGCAAACAATCGCGAGCCTAGATAAATGACTACATAATCGACTGTACAACCTTGCATCTTGTGGACGGTCGAAGCCCAACTCAGGATTAATGGCAACACTTGCAATGAACAAGGTGAGAACGCACTACCTTGAAAAAGTATCTACCTCCGTTGTGCTGTGCCGTGTGCCCGAACCAACGAAGAGTAATACCGAAACTGCATGCATGCGCAGATCGCGCGCTAGCTCTATCTCTCTTACTCCCTTACAGACGATCTATAAAAGAATTTATCGATCCTGGTGGTCCTAATAAGGATAATGGAAAACTGTTATCAAATTATTGCATTGTCATCGGTCCCTGATACGTGTGCGGAGTTTCAGATTAATCAAACTTCTCGAAATTGGTGAAAATTATGCTCAAAGATTTCCTTATATACATACATAAATACATACATACTTACAGGCCAAGCTAAAAGCGTGATGATTTAATATTCTTATAGTTGGCTTTAAAAACTTCAATTTCACATGTTTATCCGACCAAATCGCCAGTGTTTGAGAACCGTGTTTGAAGGACATTCAGATAATTTATCTACTTATCGACTATAACAAGTATTATTTCAGCACGATGGAGGTGCTCTACATGCCGTAGATTAATAGTATTTGAATGCAAGATGTGTACATCGCCTTAGATATAGCAAATATAAAATGTGTTTAGGGAGTTGCTACATCGTCAAGGTTTTTATTAATATAAAAAGTTTTCATATTAGGCTGGATTTTATTCGATGACTTGAGACCAACTGTATACGAAGATTACTATTTAAAATTTTATAATATGAATCCATGTCATGATATGTACAATATCACATCATTGAAACGGGAAAACCGTACTCTTCACCTATGCATAGCTCAGAAAAACTGAAGCAATGCTTGGAAGGATGATATTGTGGAACAAAACTAAAAAGTCTGATTTCAAGGTCTAGTTCGGAAATTCTGTGTTTTTGAAATTACTAAGGTTTGGCGACATCAATGTATGATAATATACACTTTTGGAATCTGAATTAAAAATTCTATTCATCTGTGCAAAAATTGAATATAGGGTGCACGAAGTCAGCAACAAAATTGTGAAAATTTGGATCCTTTCGTCTATCTCTGCAATGGTGAGAGTCGAATTTGAAACACCCAGTAGGTACCTATAGGAGGGAGAGGGGGCTGTTGTGATCAGCAATTAAAAATTGAAGAGTGTGAAGGAGGTGTTGTTCAAGCCCTTCAGCAGCGCTTCTGAGTGCAGATTCATTAATACAATGGCAGACCTGGGCATCTAGGGGAGACACGCTCCCCCTTGTCCCCCTCTAAATCCTTCATTGTCAGAGATGACACACATTTGCCCTTAAAACTGAGAATGATAGAGACATTTTCAGCTTCATCTGAACGAGATGATTTTTCAGTGGAAGTGGTGATGATTGCTCAAGCAATTTTCAGCCCACTGGACGAACCGAAAACGCATCGGATGGTCATCACTTTGGAAGCATTTTTCTTAATATTTCCCAATGTTGTTCAAGCGCATAGCGTCCCACATTTCGAAAATTGACATATATGTATTATATTCGTATTACTAATACTTATTAGAGGCCCATCCTATGGTTCTTTGTAAAGCTGAGAATAACGCTACAGTATCATACTTGCGTAATTTAGGACTATCTAAGTGTAGTGTAGTACTCACCGAAAGTCTGAACATGGTGATGACCTCGAAGTACCCCTTGACATTATCCCTGACTATGATGAAAGGAGGTGCGGTAACGTTTCTCAATCCCCTGATTGACACAAGCGCAACAACGCCAACCATCGTGGTGGCCAGAACGGTGAAGCACTGCTTCCTGGAGTGGATGTCGAGGAGTAGCCAGGGGCCGCGCCAACCGTTCACGCAAACTATGGCGAAGCATTCCGTGTAGAGGCGGGAACCCACATAGAAGAGGAGGCGGTTACTGCTCGGGTGGAGGAGACGCTGGAACCAGTTCTGACTCAGGGAGAAAAACAAGTGTCCGCCTATACCTGCAAAAAGATCTATCATGAGGTCTGGAGCTATTCAGATACAACCAAGAGAGTAGTTCCGGGTTACCAAGCTCTAGGATACTACAGAACGTAACTCCAGATGCAGGTAGGGCTACAAGTTCCTCTACATTTTCCTGCCCATCTTCAACACTTTAACTCTAAATAAGGATTCCCTCCAATAAATATAGTATACCTTGCTAGCCATATACCTGTATTCACAATCAGCGTGCCAAATTACCCCAGTGCATGTTGCTCTATTCTTTTGTGACCACGGATGGAATCACTTCACTGAGAAATTAAAAAGTTTCAAGACAATTATCAAAAGCTTATGCATATCTAAAATTTCTACCAAACCGCGTTGCTAGGGTAAATCGGGTGCGTAGATCACGAATCCACGGCACTCGCAAAGGGGTGTCTCTGAAAATCCGGTTTATGAGTTATGAACTATTTTGGGGATATTCCTCTCTGTGGAAATTTTTGCGGACGCCCATGCACGAATCTGGTGTTAATTTTTTATTAAGATTATTGACCATTTAGATACTTCAAATAAGAGTGGCGCAACTTCCATACCAACATTTTTCGGGAGACCCAACCCAATTATTGTCGCGAATTCCGTAGAGGGTAAAAATCGATGTAAACCTTTCTCACAAACTAAACAAGAAACGCTTTCATTGCATAATATAAATGATTCGTTGCGTATTGAATAAGTACTGAGTTTTACATTTTAATGATCTAAGAGGGGCAAATATGTACACTTCACTTGTCTTTTAATACTCTATCTACTGACCTCGGTAACAGCTGCACCGATTTGGATGAAATTTGATAATCCACAGCGTGCTGTGGGGTTATAGTTATAAGTCTAGTTCATTGTTGAAAGTTATTTAAATGGCAGCCGTATTGTGAGCAAAAAACAAATTAGCTTCAGATAGATTCAAAAGTTTGTTTTTGTTTGTTTTAGAACCTTCTGAACATTTTTGGGCATGAGCAAAGCATTTTTGGGGAGGTGGCAATTTCGAAAATCTCGCTTTTGTCGTTTCTAATTAAATTAGGTTAGAGTAAAAAACCCTATTATATAGCTCAAAAGTTTGGATTCTTTATCATTGTTTATTTTTGACTTATATGTATATAAAAATAATGATATTCAAACAGCAATTGTATGTCAAAGATTTCCAATTTGTACGAATATCACTGAGAAAAGGTCGTCAATTGAAGAGTTGTTCTGGACAATTTTCATTAGCCATAATACATTTTTGAATTATTATAACTAAATTATTCGGTATTATTAAAGTGAATTTTCTGGAACCAGTTCAATTGAGAGTAATACAGGTATGTTATTAAACAAGGCGTACTCAGATCAAAACGAAACTTACAAATTCAAAAAATTGTATGGTGAAAGCTTCAAAAATCATATCTACTTAACTATGCTTGATATTTTTCTTTCTATGTGCATTTCATTGTTTAATAAAAGTCGATAAATATATAGTCTTTTACGATGATTTGACCATTCATATGGATATAGAAAACTACTAGAATTACTTTTTTGAAAGCAGCACTTGAGATAATATATGACAAATGTTATATTGCTAACTTTATATACCTATTTTTTTGGCGTAAGAAGTATTAAAGATGCCTACCGTCAAAAATTGGCCAAAATTGAAAAGTCAAAAAAAAGCGGTATGGGAACTGGTGATATCTATAAACCCAAATCAGTTTGGTTTGGTAAAGCTTCTAACGTGTAGCTAGTTATCTCGCCGATATAATTTCACGATGCTTTTTTACTATCCCGATAATAAAAAAGTCAGCAAGTAGCGAGTAAAGTTGACCGGTCTTCAATTTTACTCACCAGCATATTGGCCAGTAAACTAACTGGATAGTTCACACGCTATCTAAATTACACAAAGTTAGTTTACTAGCAGCTAGTCAAAAAGCGCACTAGCGGCGAGTAAACTAGCTCCGTGTCATCGAGTCTTAAGAGTTATCGCGCCACATGAAATACTACAGGCAATAGATAGCTTAAGATCGGGTGCTCGTGGAACTGATGATCTAACGCTGACTGAACTTAGCCTTGTAACGTTAATGAAGTTACCAAATTTAGAATAATGGGCTCACAAAACGATGTTTAAAAATTTGACACATGCCAACAATTTCGATCAAAAAAGGCAGGCTTCACATAAAACGTATTCCATTATTGAAATTATTCGATTAATTTAGGACGCAGACTGTACCACTCGAGATCGAATGGTACGTATTGTACGTGCCATCTCATTTGCTCCGAATGCGTTCTCCCAGCAAATCCTCATATCTCTTCCTACACTTGACCAGCTGTAGAAATCCACTGATGGTACGGACCTCAGTAAATACTGATCGTAACAATTATAGTGCCTTTAGAGATTCTGTACATAAAAAATTAAATTTTTTAATTTTTGTAAAATCTGTTCTAATTTTTGCCGAGCTAGGGTAATAAAATTATTTGTTTGAAAATAGCATGTAAATGTCTTATTAGACTGTTTAATTAGTTTAGGTAATTCAGTTAACAAAGAAAAATTCGTGCAAAATCCGTAGAGGTTTACACGCTTCGCAACTGACGCTTCATTTTTCAATATTTTTTAATGAAATTTTTACAGTTTGCTAGAAATAAAACCCCACAGGTGTTATCGAGTCACTTTGTCATTTTTTCCACTGAGCTCTTTTTGAATCGAGAAATTGAATAAAAATAGTGAGCAGTTCAACCTACCATAAATTGAAATTTCATAAAGTGCTCTGATGGCACCCTGAGCTATTGTCTTCTGAACACACTATATAAATGTCATATAAACACATTGAAAAATAGAGTGTCAGTTACGAAGCAGCTTAACCTTTGTAACTGGCTTGAAACTCATTACGACTTGCCGCCTTAATGCTTGATAATTACATGATCAAACGCACTTACCTACTACCTAATTATGTAAAGGCCTCGTCGAAGTAAATAAAACAGTAATAACATAGTTGTGCTTAAGGTGTGGAGACTTGGCTTACCTCAAACGTCGCTTGAGTAAAGCTATTGCTTGACATAAGACATTTTTGAGGAGTTTCAGAAAACTCGCTTCAGCCCGCCACGAGTCTGAGCGTACTATAATTTAGCTGGTGCAGAGGTAGACCCGTTTGATGTACTATGGGCTGTCACTTGTGACACACCTAGACCACACTTTGCTGAAGCAGATTTTATCCATCTATATATAGTGGGAACAGAGACACAATGATAAAGTTTCTTCACAGTGACAAATAAATACTTTGGCTGCACAGATAATTGAGCGTAAAATACGGAGAAACTACAAGTGGGTGTCACATGAGTGGCCCCGAGGCCTTTAAAAACAGAAAAATCCCAATTTCAATGTTATTCAACCCGATCCGGATGTTGTTTGCACACTCTGACCTGAGGTTAGGGCTAGCAGTGTTGCTGATTTCCTCATCCGAATATCTACCGAGGTCACCAGCAACCCCTTTAGTTGGTTGAGGACAACCACAGTATCTCAAGTGGGGCTATATTTCGGTTGAGATGGCCTCAAGTTATAAACGCCTTTCAAAAACCAGCTTATGTCTCTATCATTAGTAGCATTTTGGGTACAAGACTGCTAGCTGACTTATAGCAAATCAAACAATTATATCTTAATATCTCATCAAACTGTGAAGTGAGACAGTTCAGGGTAGAAGAACAGTCATGTATTTCTTCCAGACAAAGGTCCTACCGTAATCCACAGTTATATGATGGATTGTAAATGCTGATCGGAATAACAGTTTTCCTGGGACGACAACAACTAGTATAAGCTTCAGAATTAGTGGGAGCAGGGTCCTGGGTTCCTCCGCCAGACCTTTGCGTTACTTTTAGAAGCGAAATTTCAGGGGCATCGAACACAAGAACCAAAATCAGAACGGTGACAGGTGGAGCTCCCACTCCGTTTTCACGTCCCACTGACGCAAAAGCTCATCTGTATCAGTATTACTTCTAGATATTATATTTGATGCCAGGGCAGTAACATTTCTCTCTTTGCACAACAGCCAGTGGAGTATAATATTCAACAGCCCCTCAAGTCGAGAGCAAAACATTCACGGCCCAAGAAAACTGTCAGTAGTTCCAGATGAATGGCATGCGAGATCTTCTCGGGTGACCAAAAACCATGAAACTTTTGTCCTGCCCAGCGAATATCCCAGCCCGAGAAATTATGCAATTGAAAATTGGATGATTTTTTACCGCTGACCGCATCTGCCGGTTTCTTGGAGCACCAGCCGAGGTAGAGCTTAAGTGCAGATTGTAGTGGCATAGTAGCCTCAAAATTCCCTTGAACATATTACAGAGGCTAGACAAACTGACACCAAGCTCCCGATGCTTACCGTAAAGCCTCGTACTTTGCCTTGGCTGCTGTCCATTATTGCTCTTAATAAGCTTAGTAATGTCTGCCTCTTGGGCTCTAGTAAAGATACCTCTTTTCTGTCACAAAGGGTCTAAAAGTGCCCAATTTTGACTGGAAGTCAAGCAGCTTTTTTTTGTAATTGATTAAAAAAGGGGTATTAACTGTTGCGCGGACTTTATTAGGGCAATTAACATAGTATAACCGAACAGAAGGAAATACAGATAGAAATGTGTCTTTTTCCTTAATGTACGCCAGAAATGGTTTTATCAACTTTGTGAACACAGGAGGGCACAATTTACCCTAAACGGCACAGCATTGTATTGGAAGAGTAGTCCCTTGAATATGAATCTGAAATATATTCTATGACTCTTCTTGATGGGTACCAAAATCTGTGCATATTCCAAATCCAGATTCGTTAAGAATGTATCTCTATAGAAAAGTTTGCCTTCTAACTTAAATCTTCTATCCCTATAAACAGATTAAGTGTCTTGGGGTAAGGAAAGATACGTGTTGACTCATCAGACTTGAGGGCAAGAAAACGTTGCATCAGTTAGCTCAACTTTTTTACTGAAACTACCGCAGCTGAGCAATAGGGAGACTGTTGTTTCGAAT